CATTGACGAATACATTTGGGTCGCAAAGACTGAATTTCGGTTCATGTCAAACACCGAATTTCTTCGGTTCAAATAACCAAAGTTTCCTACCTTAGGAGTTGAATTCTGTTAAACTAAAACAATGATCTAGTTCTGTGACCAAAAACTTTAGTAATTAGAACCTAAAAAGCTCGAAGGTCAATAAAAACCGAATATTTTTTCTCTCGGCTCGGAAAAACTTGAACGGCTCCTGAAAGTCTTCTGCCAAGTAATTGCCGGACAGGCCGAAACGCGTTGGTTCAACAAATAACAATCAGACTTGTGAGTGTTTTAATATTTTATTGATTGAAGTGCTATTGCATTATTTGCGTTGTTTTTGAAACCTCGAATTTCCAATTGCAGCTACAATCTCATTCGTGGGGTCGCAACCCAAGTGACCCCAGACCTCCAGTGCCTAGACCCAGGGAATCTCAGTCCCAGCTGGATCTTCGGGCCCGATCACTTGCACTTCAACGTGCTCCAGAGCAAAATTGGTGTCTTAGGTAAATGCTCCTCATTTTTCCAGATTCTCAACACAAAATGGATGTCGTGGGTAAATGCTCCTCATTTTTTCAAATTCTCAACACAAAATGGGTCACTATAAACTTAGTGTTTTTTATTTAATATTCTCCGAGTACCAGTTGAGTAGATTCCGTGGTGATAAATGCGGATTTTTGGGGGATAAAATCCCCACAAGCCCACTTTTAAAAGGTCAGAATACTCGAAGGTATTTCAAACGCCGCGGAATTTGGGGAAAATGATAGAAATAATACGTCACGGCGGTCAAATCTATCCATCTTCTCTCGATTTCCAAAAATGTTTGTTACAAATTGAATCTTTCCTCGGCGGTGTAATTTTGCAAGTTTTCATTAGTTTTTCTCTTTTTTTTGAATAACAAATTTCCAAAAATTTTAAATTTGGACAGAAAATAGTTCTCTTTATTTTTTATGAAAAGTTACAAAATAGATTAGTATCCCCCAGAATCTCAGATCCAAAATTAATTGGACGTATTTATATCAAACAGACCTATGTGGAGGTGAGGAATATGGGGTATGCTCGATAGTTCTCTGGCCGTAAGAGTGAATGAGAATATTAAAGCGCCAGTGACGTCAGCGGCAATGAAAAAGCCGCCCGGCGCAACGTCGTCGTCGGGGGGCATTAACTCATGAGCCCTGTCCACAACGCCCTCTTGCCATGCCCGCGGCTCATGAATTCCGCATTCAGTCGGCACATAGGTCCGTTTGATAGAATGTAATATCCCGCTTTTCCAATTCTTCAAAAGGAATCACGGCCACTTTTACATTGCTTCTTATGCAGCTTCGACGAGCACACCCCATATTTCTCACCTCCACATAGGTCTGTTTGGTAGAAATACGTCCAATTCATGCCATCTCAAATGTCCATATGGCGTCCTCCCTCAGCACTGTAGATTAGGATCACCACATCGATGCCCAAAGTGCGAAACCACGTATCTCCGTTTGCGACGTTGCAGACTTCCCGTCATACTTTGTTTCCTCTTAGGGAAACTAGTCAACGTCATTTTTTTAAAACTTCCTTGAGTTTTCTTCTCTGATAGTAGAATGTTCTGTAAACGTTTCAAGCTTTAAATTTGACTCGTTCCTCTTGGAATAAATAAACTAGGAGCGGAGATTTTGAAACACCGGAATGGAGATAGTGGTGTCGCACTTCATCCATCGATATACTAGTGTGCCGACGAAGTCACACTAAAATCCACCCTCCAACTAACAATTTCCCGACAGACGTGAGAGAACCTAATCTAAATGAACAAGCGATCTTCCAATATGTCTCTCAAGTATCATTTCAATAGTTTTCAAGCGATTTCTAACCTCGTCTCTTTGTGCTGCAAGAACAAAAGCTTTGAATCGATTGGAATCATACGTGAGAGACGTATTGGAATACTGTTTGTACATTTAAATTACAATGTTTCACGTCTATCATTCTCTACTTTCTTACTTTGAGTTAAAATTTCTACAAAATGAAATGTATGCACTGATGATGAAATACTGCAAGAATGGACCTACTGGGATGAAGCAAAATTTCCGATTATTTAATTTTTGCAAAAAAGACAATCCATGGTATAAGAGTATACTCTATTTTCCTTATCTGCGTTAAAGTTTCGAAAAAAATATCTTTGAATTATAAATGCATTGACTGTACAGTTATAAAATGTTCGTATTTATGGTTACTTTGGATCACTCTGTGCTACTTTTTTTTCGGCCAGAGCAACCAAAAGGACTTGGTTGATCGGTCAATTTTTTTGTGAAATAGACAGAAACCGTAGGTTACTCTGAGACACTAGGGTATGAAGAAAATGTCCTTAAACGAGGTTACATATTTTTAAACCAAAGACTTCGCCAATTCTTAACCCCTGAAAAAATTAAGCAAAACATATTAACCGCTCGTTCAGGTTACTTTGTGTTCTACTTCCGAAATTTCGAGCCCAATATATTCTAATGCTGTCGTAATTTTTTCCAAAAACAATTTTTAACGAAATTTTGATCGTATTCCAATTTTCAATTAGCTTATGGATAGTGCAGAATTCTAATAAAATCATAACATCTTTAATCGGCGTCCAGGTTTTTTTTCTATCATGAAAATTAAATTTTCCATCTTCTTAAAAAGAAAACCACTTCAATATCTTGAGTTATCTCGTTTTTCCCCTCTTCTTTCCCTCTTTTCGGAGTCAAATTTTTTCAGAAATTAGGACTAAAATTTGGTCCAGCAAGCTCCGGAATTTTTTTTTATGTCTACAAAACTGACACGTTATAGAGTGTTCCTCTTTCCAAATAATTTCGTAAAATTTGAGTTCCTGCAACACTTCAATTTTCTTTCGAATCAGATTATAATTTTTTAAGGGGAAAAAGAATGTACCAAATGTTGATTAAAAAAATAACAAAAAAGTTTTAAAAATGTTGTAATAATGATACAATGTTATCGCAATATAATGCAATTACATTTCAATTGTAAATTTATACTTGGTTAACGTCCCTCCTTTGAACGACTTGGGATGAGGGAGGAAACTAATCATACATGATTCTCAGTCACCTGGAACGAGACCTATGCCTATTGGACAAGTAATGCCAGGTGAGAACGATTATTTTGCAACTTAGTAGAGTCCTCCCCTAGTAGAGTTAGTAATTTGCTTAATTTTTTTTCACTTCGGGTTTACCTACTCCGTTAAAATGACCGTATTTTTATAAATACTGCCGTGCCAAGGATGAACGTCATATGAAAATTAGACTGTTGCTACAAAATATTCATTTGTGAGGAGAGCCAAGAGAATTTTGCCTCAAAAATTTCAGATAATATGGATCGAATTTCGTGTACAAGTTCGTGTAAAATTGAAAGAAAATTATTCCCAATTTTCCTCATAAAATCTTTCTTTATCGGAAGAAAGATAGCAACGCCTGAAAATTTATACGGCATCCTTTCTTTGCACAGCGGAATAATAATAACTATTGCCGTTTTGACGAGGACTCTGTGAAGCTTGTGTTCTTTTGGGTATGCAAACGGCGTAGGTCTGCGATTAAACGATTGATCTGTCATTCAAACCCATGAAAAGGATCGACTATGATGATGTTGGCAACGAATAATCGTACCTCAATGATCGATGCCTCCAGTCCTCATTGAAATATCATACTAATCCAAGATTCTCTTGGAAATAATTATTCGATTGATTAAAATTATACGAAAATTTCTTTCAAATTTGTTAAAACAGCTTTATTTATCTCAAGCTGGGGAAAACAGACGAACTTCAGATCATCGTCAGATGATCTGAAGTTCGTCTGTTATACCTCAGTTATACTCGGCGGCCTTGCGGAGAGGTTCCCTGAGTACCCATCTCCATTAATTTTTTCTTTAATTTTTCTACTCGTACAAATTTTTTCATCGTCTCTGTCCATTTACCTTTCGCATACACCTAAAACGCATGATGTGCACTTAGCTGGGTTCAGACTAAGTGCCCTGTGAACGTCACTCGCGAGTTCATTATAATAAATTAACGATCTTCTATAATGTTTTTTTTTGGAACGCGCCTGTAATTTGGGAGTGATTCTCGCAACGAATGTTGACCCTCCTCTGTTCGTTGTAAATTGACTGCGCAAATGATGGTGATTTGTGGGTTTCTTTTTAAACTGCACGTGCGCCTCCATACTTAAATGTATTGTTCTGGTTTAGCAAATTCAATCAACCCTCTTTGAGTTATTTACTCGTAACAACCAAGGCCGGATTAGTCGAGTTGCCGCGAGCCCCTAACCCAAAGAGCCCCCTGGGAGATTTTGCTGGATAATAATCGTGCAAGAGAGACTGCCATGGGTGGAAATAGGAGGTTGAGGGGCCTGGCGTTCCACAGAAATCTACTCTGTCTCTACGAAGAAATGTGAAGGATTTTGCAAAGTAAATGCATGACATATCTTTCATGTTGAAAATTGGATCAATTTTTCTGTCGTATAAGCAACGCTTAAAGCGACATATCTATAATTTGTTTATCGATAGCCAAAGTGTGAAACCACGCGTGTCCAGTGCGCTGTTGCAAAATCTCCGCTTCATTTTGATTTTTTCAAAAAAAAGGAACAATTCAACTTTATAGGTTGAAACTTATGCAGAGGATTCTGCCAACCTAGAAGGAACATAAAGGAAGTGTTCAAGAAATTATGTTAGCTAGGTTTCTAAAGAAAAAATGAAGTATGACAGTTATGTCATAAGTTAAGTATGATCGTTGCAAACGGAGATAAATGGTACCGTACTTTGGCCATCGATGAAAAACTGGAACCAATTAAGACAAAGATTAAGTGAACAAGTATAAGGATCATATATCTCAGGGAGCCTAATCAGCCTAAAATGTTTTTATTTTATTTTTATTTGCAGTTTTTTTCCAGCAATCTCATTTCCCCATTCTGATGAATATAATTGATTTTTAGTTTACTTTAATTCAGATATATATCATTTAATTTGTATGTACAATGTGGGAGTCATCCAGTCAAGAGAACGTATCGAATTTAAACAAGCATAATTTAAAGTTGAAGCTCCAGTTAAACAAGCATGCTTATTACATTTTGAAAGTTACACGTAAATGCAACCGCAAACGTTTCGATGCCCGGACAGACACCATAATCAGTGCAAAAACAATAAACAACTACAAATTCAAATATGATCGCATTTAAAAGCGGAAAAATACAGCAAAATGAACAGCATTTTACAATTTTCTCTCGGCTTTTGTAAAATTGTAAATTGCTGTTCATTTTGTTGTATTTTTCCGCTCAGATGCCATCATATTTAAATTTGTAATTGTTCATTGTTTTTGCACTAATGATGATGTCTGTCCGGGCATCGAAACGAGTGCGGTTGTATTTAAGTGTAACTTTCAACATGCTTGTTTAGATTTGAAAAGTTCTTTTGACTGGATAGCTCCCATACTGTACATACTTAGGAAACGGTCATTTCTTTACTTCATTTAATTTGTATAGCCTTCAAAATTTTCGATACAATGGACCACTAGACAAGGTACAAATTTCAGCATTCTGATACATGTTTCTTACCCAAAATTTCACTTAAAACACAATACGCACAACGAAAATTACCGAAATCAGGATAAATTAATGATTCTTGATGCGGTAAACCACCCGCTCATAAAAACTCAATGCTCTACGTGATTCATATCGCGCGCTAAACGTTATCATGACAGTCTCTGCGATATAAAATCTGGCAACCTCAATCTTGACGCTTCGGCTCAGCTATAGCAAATTGCTCATAGTTTGAATAACACACAGTGGGAAATGAACATTGCTCGTTTGAGAAGCTTGCTGAAACCGTTGTAGTGCTCGATTTGACTCACGTAGAGCTTTAAGTTTCTTGTGAGCGGGCAGTTCAAATTCTTCGCAACCAATGTGAAATAAAAGCGTTATACCTTCGTAAGGAGTTAGTTCCAGTAATTTTCGTTGCGCGAGTCGTGTTCTGCGTGAAATTCTGGTGAAAAACTAGTATCAGATTGTTTAAATTCGTACCTTGTCCAGTGGTCTATTTTGATATTCTCACGATAGCGCACCGCTGTCCTTCCTCCCAACAAAAGGAGGACAGTTGCGCAAACCAGACCTGTTCAGCTTTGATGCAAAAGAAAATTTTGATCTATTGGCATTGTTTCCGCGATATTTAAAACAGGAGGTGGAGCCTTCAGAGGACCTGGTGTGCCAAGAGTTGCGAGTGTATCAGCACCTCCTGCACCAGCTCCCGTTCCGCGACAATCTAGTTTCACAGGTTGGACTGGACCTATGGTTCCTCGATTCCAAGGAATGAGATCATACGATCAAGACAGAAGGACTTATCAGCAACCCTCGTCTCGGCAATACCAATACGCGCCTCGGTTTGACCCCACCACCCCACTGCCCTCGGATGAAATTTTTGAACGGCTGAGCGAAATCCCGGGACTTAGAGCAATTCCATCCGGAGAAATTAATGTCAGGACGGAACTGTTTAGGTGGAGAGGTATTTATGTTATGAGAACGGTTGAGGCAGAGCCGTCTGTAGTCTCGCTGTTGATCGTCCTCACGAGGGTTGCCGAGACCATGAGTCGTATCCAAGGACCGCCGGTCCTCCTTCATCATGATGTCGAGTTCGACGTGGCCACTGGTGAGTTGAATAAGCGACAATGTAAATCATGTAAAAGTGGGCGTCATGCCCTTCCGAGAAATGTAAAATTCCGCTTTTCCATTCTGTCAAACGGAGCCACGTCCCAATGGAGATGTTGCATGTGTAAGGGATTTGCGATTTGACTATTGGTTCTTGTGTAAAAGTTCGCGAGAAACACGATAGTGCCACTGGTTTTCCCTGAAAACAACTCCCAAGCTCAAAAAAAGCTCTCAAAGTTGAGGGCGTAATTGAGGGATATCCCACGCTATCCTGAGAGCCCACCTCTACATCAAGACAACCTCTCCATGCAAAGATAGGGAACAAATGCATTGACAGGACTGCCACTTTACTTGGGGACTCTAAAACTGAGAGTACTGCAATCCTGCTAATATAGTTTATCTTGGTGGACTCTCAGAATTGCGTGGGATATCCCCTCTTTAACAGTCTCAACTTTGAGAGCGTTTTTTTGAGCTTGGGAGTTGATTTCAGGGAAAACCAGTGGCATTATCGTGTTTCTCGCGAACTTTTACATAAGATTCAATAATCAAATCACAAATTCCTCACATATGCAACATCTCCATTGAATGCGGCACCCATGAGCCAGGAGCATGTGTCAAGAAACCTGTGGACAGGGCTCATATGACGTCATCTTGAATCTCCTCGTCCCCGTCGTTGCCACTGACGTCACTGGCGCTTTATAATTCCCGTTCATTCTTGCGGCCCTCGACTAACGAGCGCGCCCCTACTTTCCCACCTGTCTCTGGTCCCGTTTGGCCGAAATACGGCCAATTTCAATGAATAATATTGAAAAAAAAAAAAAAAAAAAAAAATCCGCTAATTTGCCGCCCTCTGAAAAAGTCGCCCAGTGTGGATGCACTTGTTACACTCGCTCTATGGATCTGCGAAAATCAATGAGATATATTTCTATGCCATCAAATGGAGTTCTCGAATGTGACAAGGATTTGCGATTTAATTGCGCTCTAAATCGGGCTCTGGATTTTGCGGCGTTGCCGTGGTCATCATTTCTTCGTTTCCTAGACGGAAGATCCTAATTTAACCAAAGTCGAAAAATTCCCAATCGCAAATTGATCGAATTCAACAAGGAAGCACAGAGTCACATTTTCGGGGGGGGNGGGGGGGGATATTTTGAATTCAACAAGTCGTGCATTTTCTCATGTTGAAATTCAAAGTTTAAAAAAAAGTATTCTGGACTTGAAATGAGTCGGAGGAGTAAAGCGTGGATTTCATGATCAAACTGAGCTATCAATCTGACGTCGTCAGCGAGGTTGGTGGTCTGATTGGTTCTGCGAAAATCAATGAGATATATTTCTATGCCATCAAATGGAGTTCTCGAATGTGACAAGGATTTGCGATTTAATTGCTATATTTTGTGTAAGATTTCGCAAGAAACACGATGGTAACACTAGTTTTCTCCGGGATCAAAACCCACCCTAAAAAAAAGCTCTCAAAGTTGAAACCGTAATGGAGGAGATGTATCTTACGTTACACTGAGAGTCCGCCTTTATATCCGGTCAAACTGTCCATCAACAGACAGTCGTGACTAGATTCTGTTTATAAAAGGATTTGAGTATCAAAATCGTGTTTTGGTGCTTTCTTGATTCTTGTAGATCAGCTAAAAGTAATCAGATCGGTCCAAACAGCGACTTTCTACGTTCAATATAAATCTAGATATTGCGCTTTGGAAAATTCGGTTTATGACGTCATCCGCAACGGTATGGTGACAGCCTTTATTTCTTCCACCTTGCTTTCATCAGTCAAGGAGACACACATTATTGCACTGGTTATACTCAACGTGACACTCGGATGAAAGCGAGGTGCGGAAGAAACCAAGAGGGGTGTCACTACCGCGGTGGGTGACGTCATGAACCGAATTCTACAGAGCGCGATATTTCGGTTAATATTAGACATAGAGAGTTGTGTATTATTTTTAGTCAGTCCACAAGAATCCAGCACCGTAACACGAGTCTGTGACCAGCGAAACTGACCAATCGCATAGCCCTATTCCATATCTGGTTAGTAAACAAACACAAAATTTGAACAACGACATGCTTGCGTTAATGTATGGACGATTTTTCTCTGCAGGTAATTTGTATCGGACACAAATTTGGACATCAAGAACATCACTGAGAGATTATGTAGGCTATGATCCTCCAAGGCCCATTCGCTATCTACCCATTGCATATCGTGGTTTCCTTAATGTTTTGGAACGATTGCCTGAAGGTAAGAGATTTATCTACCGACAGTTCAAAAGAGGGATTAAAAGAGTTAGACCGTGTACCGAGGATTGAGCCATTCGCGAATAAATTAAATTGCTGACTTATTAATTCAATTGCTAAAAAAAGTGACTGCAATATTCCAATGTAGATTTCATAACAGAAAAAATGCTACTTTAACCACTATTGTAAGCTAATTTAACCACGGGGGTGATTAAAGTAGCACTTTTTTGTTGTCAAATCTATTGCAGTGATTTTTTTTAGCAATTGAATTGTTAAATCAGCAATTTAATTTTTTCCGTGTTGGAAGAGGCTGGTCATATCATTCCTGACTGTACATGTGAAACTGCAAAATTTTGATGTTTATACCGTCATCAAATGAATTTTCGGGGGTGCTTCAGAGAGAAAGTTTAACGAGGAAATCAATTGAGCCACTTTTGAGTTTCTGTGTATCGAAATAATGAAGATGTAAGCTTTTGAGTATTTCTACCCTGTCCAGCTTCTTGCATTGACTCGCTTCTACGTGCATCTGCGGCAGCAATTCGAGGATCCTCTGAAGGCGCCCTCAGAAAATTCGTAGGAGCTTATGTACGCTCAGCGAGCTGATTATTGAAATTGATAGAGAAAGCTATAGAGAAAGCGATAGAGAAATCGATAGAGAAAGCTGTAGAGAAAGCGATAGAAGAGGAATACGAATGGAAAATCCTATTTGTGGAATCGGGTGGTTCTTATTGACTGCGAGGGGAAATGATAGACTAACTGTAAGGTTTCTCGTGGGTTGCCGTTAGTTGATCTATTCCAGAACTCCTTTGTCCATTTGAACCACTCGCTTCCACCAATAGAATCGCTCCATTTTCCCTTTGTCTTTCTTTGTGTATCAATCTGAGTAAGCATCCTGTTGTTGTGTTACCAAAGAGAGTAATAATACCTAAACTTTCCAGGTCGAGTTTCTCTTAAAATTCCATAAATCCATAATTTGAAAGAATCGCCCCACTCACAAGGGGAGTCTACGAAGTGACATCCTGGGATTGGGTTCATTTTGCTTGTACATGAAGAAGAGACAAATCTAAGGTTGACGTATTTTTTTTTAACCGCCACCTCCCAACCGCTCTCGAGATATCGATTTTTAAAGTTACGATTTTTGCACGTTTCCACGCGGAGTTCCGGCGAGTCAACTGAGCGCCGGCAAGCTGCACGAAGCGCGTTTCCTATCAGCGCTGCAGACCGGTCTACCTTATCAACAGGCCCGTGGCCGAGTGGTAGAGAGTTCGCCTACCGTTCCATCGATCGCGGGTTCGAATCCCGTTTCTTGCCGTAGCTCTTAGGGTACACCGCAATGCGTTTTTACAAGTTTTTTTTATTTTTATCACACACCAAGGGGTCCGCCCCCTGGCCGCTGCGCGGCCCGACCCCCGGGGCGAAAAGGCGCGCTTCGCGGCAAGCGAAATCATCGAAATCGACCGTTGACGGTTGCAAATTCTGAGTAAGGAAGAAGTCATTAACAATATAGTGTGGTGGGAAATTTTTATTTGAAACATCATTTTATCATTCAATTAAAATTATTTACTAGGTAACCGTCAACGGTCGATTTCGATGATTTCGCTTGCCGCGAAGCGCGCCTCTTCGCCCCGGGGGTTGGGCCGCGCAGCGGCCAGGGGGCGGACCCCTTGGTGTGTGATAAAAATAAAAAAAACTTGTAAAAACGCATTGCGGCGTACCCTAAGAGCTACGGCAAGAAACGGGATTCGAACCCTCGATGGATGGAACGGTAGGCGAACTCTCTACCACTCGGCCACGGACCTGTTGATAAGGTAGACCGGTCTGCAGCGCTGATAGGAAACGCGCTTCGTGCAGCTTGCCGGCGCTCAGTTGACTCGCCGGAACTCCGCGCGGAAACGTGCAAACATCGTAACTTTAAAAATCGATATCTCGAGAGCGGTTGGGAGGTGGCGGCTAAAAAAAAATACGTCAACCTTAGATTTGTCTCTTCTTCATGTACAAGCAAAATGAACCCAATCCCAGGATGTCACTTCGTAGACTCCCCTTGTCAGCTGAAACAGGAAAATTGAAATTACGTAATTCTTTAAAACAGTCGATAGTTATGAGGAAGCTATTTCAGAGGAAGCGTAAAAATTTTAGTCAACACCTCAGCTTAGGAAGTTTACATCATTCCACGGGAGAACAGAAACACAATACTGCCGTGCTAAGTATGAACATTCGAGAGTTGCCAAATTTCCTTCGACAAAATGTTTATTTATGTGAAATGTCATAAATATTTTTCCTTGAAATTTTTCGAAATTTTTCAAAATCATTGCTTTTTGCTTGCTTAAGCAAGTTAGTAATTCTAGTGCCTAATCGCAAAATGTAGTTCATACTATCCTTGCGGGCTGGTTATTGAAACTTTTTTTCTTCTCCTTCAAATAGCCTGTAAGACTAATCCCATTCCAAATTCGCATACCGTACCTTCACCTATCTTATACCCTCAATTAAACCCCTTAAGTCTCAATAATCGGCCCGCTGGGTGTGGGGGGTGATGGAAAGTTTTCAAGTTGCACTTGCTCGTTTATTTTGGTTGCACTATCAGTCTCACATAATAACAACGGTGAGGTTCATAATGTCCTTTTAATTTTCTTGTTTTGCCGGTTGAAAATGCGGGTGTGATCCCTGCGAAACGTCCCGGGCTTTTTATTGTCATGGGAACGGAGTTCCCCATGATATTACAATCGTTCCGTTGCTTTCGCTATGGGATTCCCTATACCTCTGCGACCTTGAGCGTTTCGCCCAGTCTCCGATTTTTGGTTGATTTTCCGATGTATCAAAAACCGTTGTATTTTTTAGCCTCTACGTCAAGTTGTGTTGATTGCTAAAATTCGCTTTCAGCGAGTTTTTTTCCACCTTGAGATGTCGTTTCTGACTGGTAAATCTGCGCAGAACCACGAAGTTCCGTTTTTAGGCAAATTCTTTTTTTTGGGAGGTTCTGATTGGTTATTTTTCGCCATCAGTTTTCTGTTCGTTGGTGCAAAAGATCGCCTACCTCGTTGCTCTTGAGAAGCCGCCATTATCCCACCTCAAATTTGAAAAATAGAAACAAGTTGGATTTTGCAATCGCTAGCGATAGCAATATTCGTCATGGGAACGTTAGCTTCTGGGATATGAAAATGTTAAGGTACAGTTCGTTTGTAGTATCTTCTGAATTGAAGGGGCTATGTAATTTTGTGTTGACATCTCTTTTTTAACATTTTTAATTATTTTCTTTGCATACAAGAAAGCTGTTATGTACCAATTATTTATATTCGTTGGATTATATATGGTTTTCGGAAGTTAACGCATTTAAGTTTCAGGTTCGCTTTTTCGGCGTAAAGTGTACATAAGGTGTCCCAAAAGCACCGGGACTTGTTCTGTAACTTCAAAAGTAAGATAGATACAGACATGATCTTGATTTTATTTTAAAGATCAACTCAATACCTATCGATTAAAACCAAGATCAGCTCAATCGAATAAAAATTGACCGAGTTATGGCAATTTGAAATCAGCGAGGAATGTTTACGCCTACGGTTTTTAAGGAAGATTCTTCATCGCCGTAAATCGAAAAGTCGGCCGATAAAGTGATGCTTATTGTGTTTTTTTATTTTCGAGGTGTCATTTATCAACATTTTGTACCATCAAACACAACAGTTGACAGTGCGTATTATTGCAAAGTACTAAAGGAGTTGAGAATGCACATTTCCCGGAAACGGTCGGACTTGAAAGCTTCGTGGATACTCCATCAAGTCAATGCGCGGCCTCACACATCGAGCTTAACACGTGAATTTATGAGTAAAAATGGAGTTGAAACAATCCCTCATCCCCCTTATAGCCCTGACTTGGCTCCATGTGATTTTTGGATGTTTCCTGCGCTTAAAAAGGAGCTTCGCGGACGAAGATTCGTATCGAAGACAAAAATCCAGAATGCAATTCAAAACTTCTTCAACTCCATCCCAGAGGAAGAATTCAGGAAAACAATGTTAGATACGTGGCAAGAGCGCATGAAAAAGTGCATTCGGTTTGATGGACGGTACTTTGAAAAGCAAAAGGAAGTTATGGAAGATTCGGAGGAAAGTGGATACGAATATTAACTTTTTGAATCCTGGTAAGCGAAAAATCTTCCTTAAAAACCGTAGGGGTAAACTTTCCTCACTAATTTCAAATTGTCATAACTCGGTCAATTTTTATTCGATTGAGCTGATCATGGTTTTAATCGATAGGTATTGAGTTGATCTTTAAAATGAAACCAAAATCATGTCTGCATCTATCTTACTTTTGAAGTTACAGAACCAGTCCCGGTACTTTTGGGACACCCTACGTATGATATTTTTACTCTACACATATGCCCAAATACGCATCATAAGGGACCTATGTGCTTCCTAAGTTGCCAAGTATTAATTATTGTTAGATTATTGGTCTAAAACATTCAATACAACCAGTAAAAATTAGCTGTCCTCTACGAGATTCGAACCCCCGCTCCCACAAAAAGTGACACTCTCCCACAACCAGAACGGTGTTGTAGTTGACTGAGCTATTTCACCGCTTGGAAATGGGAGGGGAAAAAGAGAACAGTTAAGTGATCTCGGACGCTGAGCGGGGCTTCACAAAAGACGTCCTTGAGATTTCAACGGTTCGGCCACTGGCGTGATAAGAGACAAATGGATCAAGCGCATTACTCTGTGAGACATTGTTTACCTATGCGGTCATGTGTCACAAGGTTCATCATGCAGATGCATTTGCGATCGCGGCAGTAAGCTGAGGCAATATTTCTGTATTCATGGATTAAATCCATCAATCGAGTTCTGATTTTGGCTCATATATCCGTAACGGGTCCTCCAGAGCAATTTTCCACCTTGTACGATGGTTATTATTTCTTTACATCTATGTTTAAAATTTGAGGTGGGATAATGGCGGCTTCTCAAGAGCAACGAGGTAGGCGATCTTTTGCACCAACGAACAGAAAACTGATGGCGAAAAATAACCAATCAGAACCTCCCAAAAAAAAGAATTTGCCTAAAAACGGAACTTCGTGGTTCTGCGCAGATTTACCAGTCAGACACGACATCTGAAGGTGGAAAAAAACTCGCTGAAAGCGAATTTTAGAAATCAACACAACTTGACGTAGAGACATGATTGGCTAAAAAATACAACGGTTTTTGATACATCGGAAAATCAACCAAAAATCGGAGACTGGGCGAAACGCTCAAGGTCGCAGAGGTATAGGGAATCCCATTGCGAAAGCAACGGAACGATTGTAATATCATGGGGAACTCCGTTCCCATGACAATAAAGAAATTATAACTATTGTGCAAGGTGGAAATCTGCTCTGGAGGACCCGTTACGGATATATGAGCCAAAATTGGAACTCGATTGATTGATTTATTCCATGAATACAGAAATATTGCCTCAGCTTACTGCCGCGATAGCAAATGCATAGTGAGATGAACCTTGAGACACATGATAGCATAGGCAAACAATGTCTCACAGAGAAAGGCGCTTAGCTCATTTCTTTCATATCTCAGAGGCTACGAAGACGCGAATCGCTCAAGGACAACTCTTGTGATAAGTCCCGCCCATCGTCCGAGTCTTTTGAATGCTATTTTTTCTCGCACTGCCGCGGATCCGTGATAGCCTAGTTGACTGAGGCGTCCCACTTTTTTGATAAGGAGCGGGCAATAGGTGATCGGGAGTTCGATACCCGGCGATGGGAGTTAATTTTTAATGGTTGTATTGAATGTTTTAGACCAATCATCAAAAAATAATTAATACTAGATGATAAATGTACGAACATTTTCTCGTGAGTTAATATGTTAAACAAAAATACTGGAGTATACCTCCTTCCTTTATATAATCAGCCACATGTTTCCCCAAATTAATGACGTTATTTTCTTTTTTTCAATAAAGTTTATTTGCATTCAACGTTCGTAAGTTAAGCAAGATGTACCTATTGATACAAATAGAAAGACATGAAAATAGTATGTCTAACATTTCAGTTGTTTTTTTTTTTTATTTTTTGTTGTTTTGTCTTTTCAATAAAACAAATTGCCTTGGACTAGAATCAGTGTATCTCTGAAGACAAAAGCTAAGTTTTTTGATACAGAAATACTAATATATTCATCCGTTATATAATCAGGGAGATGTTGACCCAAATATTGATGTATATTTTCTCTGTTCGCCCAAATTAATGATGGTATTTTCTTTTTTCAAAAAATAAATAAAGCAATGACATGAAAGTAGTATAGTGCACATCTAACATTTCAGTTACATCTATTTGAATGAAAAAATGGCAACTTAGGAGGCACATAGGTCACTTATGATGCGTATCCGGGCATATGTGTAGAGTAAAAATATCATACTTTACGCCGAAAAAGCGAAACTGATAGTTAAATGCGTTAACTTCCGAAAACCATGTATAATCCAACGAAAATAAATAATTGGTAAATAACAGCTTTCTTGTATGCAAAGAAAAAAAAATTAAAAATGTTAAAAAAGAGTTGTTGACACAAAATTACATAGCCCCTTCAATTCTGAAGATACTGCAAACCAACTGTACCTTAAAATTTTCATATCCCAGAAGCTAAAGTTCCCATGACGAATATTGCTATCGCTAGCGATTGCAAAAACCAACTTGTTTTATTTCATGTGTTTCTTTTTATTATTGGCGGCCTTAGTCCCGTTTTAAGTTGTTTCTCGGAGAGTTTTGATGAAGCCTTTTTTGTTACAACAGCCCCACCGGCAGCTCGTATCCCCTCACCAACCAGAGGCGGGAGCGCGGGCGTACCCTCAATTTCTTCGGGAATAGTGACCGGTCGCCCTCGGCACCGGGGCGCCCTTTACAGTCCTCCTCCCTCACCACCGCGGCCGGCGCCGCCGCCTACGAAACCGAAGAAAATTGTACCGCCCTATCCGACTGATACACCGGCCGAGGACGAAGATGCCGAAGACAGTAAGCCCACTTTAAAATCTCCTCTTAAAACATTCTTGATAAACAATTCCAGGTCAAACTGTTAGAGGTGTTTCATAAAAAAATGTCATGAATTACCCACCAATCTCTTTAAAAGAAACCTGGAGAGCTGATTGTTGAAATCTCCGACTCATAAACTGTTCCTTGTTTTCGAGATGTATTCGATGAAAATCGAACCCCGTGTTATTTTTCACAAGGGCTCCAGAAAATGGGCACGAAAGTTGGTTGTTTTGAAAGTTGGTTGCGCCACTCGGTTCGCAATTGGACGTATTTATGCTAAAAGGAACTATGTTGCATGCAAACCTTGTGTACACAGTTCCTTTTAGCATAAATGTGTCCAATTGGATGTATTATGCTAAAAGGAACTATGTCCCGCGCAAACCCTGTACACATAGTTCCTTTTAGTGTTAATACATACAATTAGTATCGTCATATGTCACAGACGGGGGGGTGGGGGGTCACGTCCCCCAGAGACAAGAAGAGACCCTCTACTAACATCTTAGCCATGATGGAAGCTTTTTTGGCAATTCGTTTTAACTTCGCTTTAAAATAATTACCGCTTTAACTTAGAGACCTCTCTTGAACCTTGGAAGTCGGTGTTGGAGAATACTAGCAGCTCAATTGAATCTCTTGCTGAATTTTACTTACAAAATAGTACACAAACTACAAATCTGACTTTTAACAGCTTTATTATACTGGAGTCAATTTAAAAATTAGTGCGGAATATCTTACTGCATTCATATTTCCTTATATTCAGCAATAGACATCCTCCTGTGTTGTTGACTGTTGAGCCCTGAATGTGCCGAATGAATTCAAAAGCTGCAAGGTGTTAGGGCCATGTTTCTCATTTTTATGTGTCTCAGTGCGTTTGAATGTCTGACTTTATTTGTGTTGACTCGGATTCTTTTCTTTCTTACAGCGTGCTGTATATGCTGTGAAAGAGTGCAGAATACACGGTACATGCCATGCAAGCACCAATTCTGTTTTAGTTGCACCGAGGAGATCAGAAAAACATCCCCTTTCAAATGTCCCAATTGTCGTTGCGTAGTCGATAACTACGGCAAGATTCCGTCTGATTCTGATTGATATTTAATCGTGCACGCAATTACACTCCAGTAACTGAGAAATTGTTTTAGTCTTACATACGTTTTCAAATTAAAGTTTCTCGATTAGCGATGTCAAAGGTGGGGAACCGCGTTTCTCCGTTTTCGACTATCCCTATGCGTTGCGGAATTCCTGTCATTCTCTGTTATTTTTTGGAATACACGTCAACGTAGTCTCTTAAGAACTTCCTTGATATGTCTCTTCTGTCGGTAGAATATTTTGTATAAACTTTAGGCTATAAAATTGGATTGTTTTTCCTCGAAAGAATAGAATAAGAGCGGAAATTTGGCAACATCGTAATGGAAAAACATGGCTCCACACTTTGGCCATCAATAGACACAATAAAATAGGTCTCGTGGAAAATAAACAACTTTCACCCCGTAAATATGAAAGGTAAAAACTTAGAATTTATTGCCTCTGAAAACTACGCTTTATTCAAATCGCAAACTTGAGATTGGCTTGACATACTCGTATTTTGAGATTTTTTTAACGCTCAATTGTTTGTAAATTATCGAATTTTTAGGGGTAAGATTGTGATTATGATTTCTGTAGAGCTAAAAACCCTTTCACATCCAAAAATTCAAATTCATAGCTAATTTTACTGTGTAATATAAGATAATGAGAGCACCGCATGACGTAGGTGGTGTAACTAAGTAACTGTTGGTAACTGTAGTGTCAATCTACATTTTAGAACTTTTAAAATTGGTTCGGGATAATGAGAACAATTTTGTCACATTAAAAAATGTCCCTTCATATACGACCAGAGATAGGAGCGATGTTCAACTGTCCTTTGTTAAATCCGTCAAATTTTGTAGTTCCCTTTGTTTTCAAGCAGCCAGGCTTTCTATAATAAACTGCTTAAACTAATTAAAGGTATTGAAGATAATAGATCCTTCCTCAAAAATGCCAAAAATATGTTATTTGCTATGCTGAAACCTGTCATACTGTAGATGAATTTTTGAAATGTCAACTTGTTCTTATAAATTGTTGTAAACTATCTGACATGTACTGTAACAATTTTTATTGTTTTAAAGTGTACCAATTTATCATGAATAGATAAAAGGATAAATACATAAATAAATAAAAAAAATAAAATAAATGCATGACGTCTGAGGGTGAAAGCGTTTCGGGGGGTTATGCCGCGAAGCGGTCAGAGGGCACCACCCCTAATGTAGTACTTAAGAATATTTTAAGAATAAACGGAATCATCCAAACGCAAGTCAACTCAATTTGTTCCATTTGTTTTCTCCTCTCATTTAATGTTTTCCATTATCCGTAGAATTCCCAGAAAAACAGAAAAACAGATTTTAAAAAAGTTCCCCTTTTTAAGGCCTCTATCGCCCAATTTGTTGGCACCCAAGACTTAACCTCCGCATCCGATGAATTTTTTCCACTCACCAAAGGACACGCAAACAAGGTAGAAGCTGATTATATGTATTCCACGAAGGACAGTTGGTCCTTAAAAACACTTATTCATACCGCTCATCGTAAATCTATTCAAGTTGGGAAACTTGTTTTTATGAGGGCTGTGCGTGGCACTGCACCACATGAATAGATTGAGTCATCAAAAGTTTCCACTCTGTACAAAATTTCTGGTTAACAATATGAAAGAATTCGCGGAATCACGCTTTTAGATTCTTTTATTTCGTGTGGGAGGCCTTTAGGGAATGGATTTATGTCATGCCCTCTCAGTGGAGCGAGGGAAAACAGATGACATTCAAATTCTATCTACAGCAGAGGCGGCTACACCATGAAACCCCTGAAGAACCACCACAAAATAAGACAAACAGAAGCAACACATGGAAATAGAGCGGGGAAAGGGCGTGCGTTGATGACGGCGCAGAGATACAACTATTCGTGCTTAATGGATGTCCGTGTTGCATCTGCAAAATTGAAGGCGCGATGGCGCAAGGCGTGAACTCGCAATGCTTTGCTCATGCCTCAAATTCAGGGAAAAAGTTAAAACACGAGGGCATGAGGCCCGAAAAAGTCTCTCCTATCTTCGGCTGTGTTGCTCATGTAGCCCTTGAGGCTTGAAGCATTAAATTTAATAGGGGCACGGAAAATTATCTCTCGTTGCGCAATGAGGAGAGTTCGTTTCACTTTCATCAAGTCTCTAATTCGAAATTATATTTAAGATGCAAATCAGAGATCTAGTCTGTTGCTGCTCCACTATCGTCTGGTTACTCCACTTACACTATCAGTTCACTTGAACGACTGACCATTAAGATAAACTATGTATGGTTTTTATCGAAGTGAGACCCACATTTTAGATTTGTTTTGTGAATTGTTTTGTGATTTGTTTCCTGAGTTGCTGTGATGCCTGTGATGTCTTTATCCACAGATTGGTATTCTTGGGCATTTTTGTCGCTCTAGCTTCTCTCCAGTAGACGCTGCCTTCATAATATACGATCGAATGAAGTATCCCACGACTCAACTTGATACAGAAAAAGGAAAAAAGAAGAAGAAAAAAAACTGCATATTGCAAGTACTTCCGGAGTCGATTCTTCTTGATGGTGTGGACCGATAAATTAATGTAATATATTGAAATACGGAGCCATTATAGTCTTTTAATGACGTGCATTGACGTATTTTGGTGATATGATGGGCACGTTGAAGGAAATATGCATTATTTATTTATTTATTATTTATTTATTTATCTATTTATTTTTTATTTATTCACGGGTATCAGATGGATAAAGCCACAACATCTGCATTGTTTTTAAAACATTTTGCAGCGAATTATCGACCAAACCAATGCAGGAATGTAAGAAACTTAAAAATTCAATATTGACATATCAACGTTGTAAGTCGGCAATCACGTAACTCGGTTTGCGATGTCGAAGACTTCCTGTCATGCTATTATTTTTAAATTCAAAACTACTCAACGGCAGTTCTTTAAAAGTGCCGTGATTTTTCTCTCTGTGCGAAGAAAATTCTGCAAATACTTTAAAGAATCCGATGTAAATTTGTTCTCCTTTAAAAAATTAACAAAGAGGCGGATATTTTCAGGCACCGCAAACGAGTTATGTGAATGCTGACTTACACCGTCGTTATATTGTGTCACGATACAAAACTTTTCATTCCGAGTTTTAATGTCACGAAGATCTTCCCTTTATGACCTTTTGAATTTAGACCACATTTTTGCGAGTCTTAAGATATTTGAAATTGTGATCGGAATCATACGTAAAAATTTTAGTAGGATTCATTTACTTCTATTCAGTCTATCACACCCAAGGCCGCGGCTTACAATTTTTAAGTTTGCTGTTCAATTGTCAGTTTTTGACATTTTTCTCTAATTTTCTGCCAGCAGAAAAAGTCAGGAAGTCCAAAAAAGACCTCCATTTTTTTATTATTTTATGCTCCTGTCCAAAATCCATAGAATATACAGATAGGTAAGCTTAGCATTACTCTAAACCCCCCCCCCCCGAATTTTCCCCCGGTTATGGTCCAGTCCATTCAGCTTCCGTAACCACCCCCCTTTCCTTCTCAACAATATGCACGTTGCCAAACCGCATCAGCTTTATTTTTTTTAAACGCATTAAACTTGAAAATTACTCCGAGTTTATTTGAATGCAGTTTGATGGGTACAATCTGGGACTGGTGGCAATCCAGAGCGTGGCGTGCTTTGCGATGTATCGATTGATCGGCCATTTAAACCTATGGAAAAGTATCGTTAAACAGGGTGTTCGCAGCGAACATCTGAACGATCGATCGATTTTTTGTCACAGCTTCAAATGGGGAAATATCGATAGACAGTAAAGCACGCCACGCCACTGTGGCAATCAGAGAGGGAGAGGGGGGGGGAGAGAGAGAGAGAGAGAGAGAGGAGCGACGAGAACGAAAATCGGGCGCATCATACATTTTATGATTTCACTTCTGATAGAAGAACCTACACGAGTCCGTATTTCAAAAATGTACACACGTGAAAGCAATTTAATATTTGGTCTCCATTTCGTCACATTCGCCACGTGTTATTGTATTCTATCATGTGCTGGTGAGAGGACCGATGCCTTTGTTGACGAGAAGTCGTCACAATCGTCGCATGTCACGCAACATCAGGACTTTCGGATAGCGCGGTGAGATATTCATATTTTTAAACTTACTTGTACTTGAGGCTTATCAAGCGGATTCTTAGCAAGGGAAAAAAAATTATAAACTGTGCAACAACTTACACAGTAAGAAAAAGTTTTCGATCTTTTGTTTTATTTTATGAAGTGAAACACAAAGTAACCTAACAGGGTGGTTAATAATATTTTGTAAAAATAATTAAACGTATTTCTTGTGTTATGTGTTATTAATTTTTCTTTGGTTAACAATGACGAAATCTTTGAGTTTATAATTTGCAACCTCATTGAAAATCAACTGCGAGCAGTCAGAGTGGAATTCGGATTGCATCGATGATAAAGCAATGCAGCAGCCACAACCTTTCAATGCCTTTGAAAGAGCCAAGGGTTCATTAGTTCAGCAGGACACCTTCTTCGACCCCAAATTTTCCAGAATAACCCACTTGGTTTCAGTCAATTTAACCGAGAACTTGGTCGATCAACCAAGTTTTCTCGGTTAAACTGATCGGGGAAAAGTAGCTCAGAGTAACCATGAACACGAATATTTTTAACAGTGTAGAAAATTAATGTTGTTTTATCCTATCCCCTCTCCGATGCGTATGAAAATACACGTAGAACGATTTTATTCGTAAACATAATTTCCACAAATAAGTAGGTAGTTGAATATTAATCGGTAAAAATTCCTGAGCCCCCATTTTTCAGCGTAATGACTTAAAAATATTTCACATCGGTTAAGGTTGAAATAAACAAATACACCTTTTCATTTTCCAGGTTCAAACGGGAAGTAAGAAATGAGACGCAAAAAGTGAATCGCACTACTTTGGACAAACATGAGGTGTGTACAATCATTATCTCTATATCTTTGGAAATTGTAGGGTCTATTACTCGACGGATCGAAGACGGAAAAGTTAGATTCCATTTCCATTGAAATTGAATTAGTTTTGCCCATTGACGCTCTGCTGAATACTCATGCTTATTAGCATAAAGTTAATTCTGTACCCATCTCAATTGACCCTAACCTAACAATTTCCTCTATTTTTAGCCAAATCAATCAACAATGAACTTCATTTTGCAATACGGAACTGCTATTCTGCCGTGCGAAGGAAAAACGACGTATGAACATTTGAGAGTTGCCAAAGTGCCTTCGATATAATGTTTATTTTTGAGGAAAGTTATGAATATTTTTCCGATAAATTTTCAAGAACTTTAGGTAAAATTGCAAACAAAATTATCTGAAGAATGAAAAGATAAATATTTACTAGGTTTTCCAGTAATTCGTGATTTACCGAGGGGAATTTGGCAACGCCTAAAGGTTCATACGGCATCTTTCCGTGGCACGGCAGTATTTCTGACTCATCCATAAAATCACTTCTCTACATATGGAAACTAATTACACGGCATAGTCTCTACTATGAGCCAGAAATAGTTTCTACAAATCTTTACAATTTCTACAAAAGTGCAAAATTTAGTAGAATGAGGACTCGTTCCCGTTTTCCCCATGAATGATATTTAACATGCTGTTGTCACCATTTTTCATTGGGCCCCATAAAAATTGGATCAATGTGTCAATTCCCGCAGATAGGAGAGACGTATTCATGTATTTATTTGCTATTCCATTTCCAACAGGAGTCGCATATCGATCTATAGGACTCTATGGATGCTAGTGAATTTACATACGTTAGTGCGCCTTCAATTCCGTCTGATACTGTGCAATCCTTCCGCGGTGGTATAGTTGCTCAGAGCGCCTAGAAGAGTATCGCCTCGACTTGATGGCGGCAGATCACGATTGCCGCTGATATTACACTCTAACGCGTGCGCAGTTACACATTTTCTCATCACCGAAAGAGAGATAAAAAAACGTCCATACCTAAATTTGCGACGTTGCAACTTTTTCACTGCGTATTTTCAATGAGTAAAAAATGAGTAAATATGAACACTTTAAAATCTGCCGTGATTTTTCCGAGATGTGACAAAATACATCATTTGAATGTGCTGCTATCGAGCTGCCAGTGATTGGCACTTAGTACGTTACGGTGCCTTCCTTATTACCTCTTCGGGCCCATCTACGTCCTGAGTTAAAACATTTCGGGTCTGTTTTTGTTCGTTCGAGGATTTCTACCTACGACTTCTTATCCTCCTGTTTAATTTAAGCATAAAGTTTAGACATTAGACTGAAATACAACATTCGAATTCAACAGCCATTGTTATTATCAGCTCGCTAGCAGCACATTCAATTAATGCTTTTTGTCGTATCTCGGAAAAATTACCTACGGCAGATTTTAAGTGTTCGCGATCTTTTACCCGTTCAAAACAGACAGTGAAAAAGTTGCAAATTGTGGTATGGATGTATTTCATCTCTCCGTCGATGATGAGAAAATGTGTAAAACCACTTGTTCTGGGGTGTAATGTCGGCGGCAGTCGTGATCTTCTGCCATCAAGTCGAGGCGATACGCTTGAAGGCGCTCTGAGCAACTATTCCACCTCGGAAGTATTGGACGGTATCAGACATGATTGAAGGCGCACTAACGTAGGCAAATTGACTAGTAGCGTTTATCGTACGATCTGCGACTCCTGTTTGCTTGATTTTTTTAAAACTCGGTGCCGAGTGGCATTTTTCGACGGAAAATCTGATACAACATAGACTAGGCATGTTCCGATTATCGATTCATAATAATTAGTCGAGCACATAATAATCGATTACAGTAATCTATTTACAGTTATCCGATTAATCGTCTAACCGATTGTTAGTTTACGATTAATCAGCAATTTGAGATTATGTTGAAAAAACGTGTCCTACCTCCAAAAAATCTAACATTCAAAAGATTTTAGTGGTCAAACTAGCCATTTTTAGCACTTTTCGAAAACAGCGATTAATTATCGATTATCGATTAATCGATTATTTCGCTGTCGATTGATGTCTCTCTCCCTCTCTTGTTTTACAGCTTTTATCCCAATTTTTGTGTCATTTTTTAATGTCTTGACCGATTAGCTAAATAGTTCGATTACCGATTATCGATCATTCGATTATTTAAATAATTGAGCAGGCCAACGATAGATATAGAGGACAAAGGGAAAATGAAGCAATCCTGTTGAAGGAAGCGCGCAGGTGGTTGCGATGGACAAAAAAGACAAGAAACGAACGGGAACTTACGTGGGACATCATAGTTAGTCCATCATTTTCCTCCTTAGTCTATAGCAGTCATCCGTTTCAACCAATGGGATCGCTTCATTTTCCCGAAGTCTCGTTATCTATCGCTTTCTCTACCAATTTCAATAATCAGTCTGTAGGTAGAGCTATCCAATTACCTTACGGTTCAGGTATGAAAGCAGCTAGTTCAAAGTTTTCGGTAATTCAGACCAATTTAAGAGGGCTGATGATTGAAATTGATAAACAGAGCTATACCATCAAAGAATAAGATAATGGGAAAATGAGGCGTTTATACGAGTGAAAGCGGGTGGTTACAATAGACAAATGAAGTGAGAAATAGACTAATCAATGGCAATTCACGAGGGATCGATAGTAGGTTCATCATTTTCTCCCTTGGTCTACAACAATCACCCATTTCAACCAATGGGATCGCTCAATTTTCCCTATGTCCTCTTTGTCTATAGCTTTGTCTATCGATTTCAATAATCAGCCCACTGACCTGCGAAGTTACTCGTCTATATTACCAATTCAACTTGTCCAGGTAGCTTTGTTACTCGCATAGGTTCAAGCATGTCCACCTATGCGTGTAGCAGAATTAGTGTCATTATGTGCATCTCTGGAGACTTTAACGCCAGGAGTAAGAAAGTAAGCGACAGTGTCAAAATTGCAATGATTACTTTAGACTAAAATTGATGACTTTAAGCCAATAAATGTAAGGCAATTTTTGGAAATTGTTAAGAATTTATGGCTCATAGTGACGTTTAATTAAAATATTTCATAGAGAATGAAATATTTTTACTTTTTGACAGTCATTCAAAAGTTCAATTGTTTTCCGAGATTTTTGATGACAATTCCTTTTTAAGACAGATACCTACCAATTTCTGATAATTTTGAAGGTGCCAAGATAGCACTCTAAGACACTTCCGCCATCTTGAAGTTTTGAAATTCAAAACTTTGAATGAAAATTCGACCTCTACGTGAAAGACATCCACTGCCACCAAGTCTCACAAAAACGAATCAAGCAGGATCCGAGACAGCATTTTAGGCCACATCCAGTATCTTGGATTTTTGAATTAAGAAAATTTGAGTTGGAATTCAAGTTTTCCGTCAAAAGATGCCACCCGGTACCGAGTTTTAAGAAACGTCCTGTAGTGTATTGACGGCGACAATCGCGTGATCCTCCGCCATCAACTCGAGGCGATACCCTTAAAGGCGCTCTGAGCAACTATTCCACCTCGGAAGTATTGCACAGTATCAGACGAAATTGAAGGCGCACTAACGTTGGCAACTTGACTGGTAGCGTTTATCGTACGATTTGCGACTCCTGTTCGATCAAATTTTTTGAAACTTGGTATCAGGTGGCATTTTTTGACGGAAAACCTGAATTTCAACTCAAATTTTCATAATTCAAAAATTCAAGATAGTGAATGTGGTCTAAAATGCTATCTCGGCACCTGTTTGATTCCTTTTTGTGAGACTTGGTGGCAATGGATGTTTTTCACATGAGGTCGAATTTTCATTCAAAATTTTCAAATTCAAAAGTCGGAGATGGCGGCTGTGGCCGAGAATGCTATCTTGGTGCCTTTGAAAGCATCCAACTTTGCAATAGAGGTATCTATCCTTTTTAAGTTCAGTTTCAAATCGATGTACTCTCAGCTAACTTAAACCTCGATATCGACTCGCTCTTCAACCGTTATGAAATCAATCTGTTTGTTTTGTTTGTTTGTTTTTTTTTAAATTATTGGACTTCGTTTTTTAACTTCTCTACCGAATCTATGCAATACCTCATAGGCAGCATAGAACGGAGCATCGCGAGTTCCTATCTCGCGTCATTGCGCCTTCAATCTTGGTTATGCAACATGGATATCCATCAAGCACGAATAGTTGTATCCCAGCGCCGTCATCAACGCGCATCCTTTCCCTTGCCTCCTTCTGTTCCCCTGTAAGGCACGCGTAGTTAATAATTATCATAATTTTAATAGTTATACGACATTTTGATTTTGGAATTCAATGAAACTATTTTGATTAGAATATCCGCAAGAAGATTAATAATTCTAATTTTCGAAATTCGTATTTAGTGCTGGTACTTTTTGCTTGGTTTTGAAGTACAATTTTTGTCAGGCCTCCTGAGGCTCGTATTTTTTACCGAAGAAATCGGCTAGCCGAACCGAAGTTCAGTTTGTGCGACTAAAAACTTCAGGCACCTGAACCGAAACTTTGACGTTTTACACGATTTTAATATCAGCCTTGCTGGAGTGTTTCCCGCGCGAGGAATCATCCAAAATAAATTCATAACCTCTCAATTATTTTTTCACAGGCCACTCCTCCACCAATCGAAGAGTCCGTCTACAAATACTCAAATTTCGAGGAGCTGAGGCGTTCCCCTGCGTTCGTCGACAAAACTCTCCTCATAAAGCACCTGCTGGACCCAAAACTGAATCCCTCCACGCGGCTGTACATAACAGCGCCGGGCTCCTTCGGCAAGACGCTAAACCTGGACATGCTTGATCGCTTCCTAAGATTACAAAGGCGAGACACAGGAGAACTGATGGAACACCCCGCATCCAACCAGACTACATTATTCTCAGGCACAAAGATTTCAACCCAAGAGAATGATTTTATCCACGCCCATCATGGACAATACATCGTACTGCGCTTATCACTAGGACCGTTGTATAATATAACGACCTACAATATGTTCAAAAACACCCTGTGCAGCATTATCAGTGACGCGGAATGGCAGATAGACTGGATGTCAGGCAAGCCGAGTGACGAGAAAATGACGTCGTTAGCGTATTATCGGGAGCACTGTAGAATGAACTTCCTGTCTGCGGCGGATATACTTCCACCTCGGCTGAAGCGCCTGTCAAAGACCCTCGGGAAGAGGGCCGTATTGCTTTGGGACGACTTGGACATACTGTTGCGTGCGTCGATCAGAAGAACGCTCCCGGATACGAAATCTATCTACAAAACCGTGAGCCGGGTTATAGTTCGACTTACGCACTCCGACGCCGTTAGAATGTCCGTGGCCGTCGGGAGGTTGAATTTCGGAGGTGTGATGTCCAGTATTGCCAACTGCACTCACGTTGCTTTCAACGGAGACGCAGGCTTGGCTCCATTTTTCGGTCTGACCAAGAGTGAAGTCCACGATCTCGTGGAGGCTTACCGTTTGCCTCTACCGCAACAAATCGAGCTGTACTACAACGGTTACGAGGTTATGGGCTCAGATCTGCGCATCTACAACTCGTTTTCGATTGCGTCACTCGTCGGGTCCAAGAAGTTCGACTTTTACTGGCAGAATCAGGTCGCTCCGTTATTCCCGTTCACGCAGATCTTTGCCACGCCATTGATCGGTACACAGGTAATCTCCCCAGTGGCGTGGCTTGCTTTGCGATGTATCGATTGGTCGGCCATTTAAACCTATGAAAAAGTATCGATAAGCAGGATATTCGCAGCGAACAATCGATTATTTACCACGGTTTCAAATTGGATAATATCGATAGATCGCAAAGCACACCACGCCACTAAATCTCTCAATGCCCAATGTTAATGCACCCACCGAGTTTTATACGTCAAAGTTTGATGAGAAAACTTGTGGGGGAAAATGTCTACACTAGCTTGATGTCATTCATTTGAGGTCAGGCGGAAGCAATTTTGCAAGGTAAAGACATTGTTCAGCCATGTGTAAAGTCATTAAAAATATCGATTTGAAGCACCTTGCCTCACTAAGAATCGATTGTTGCACATACACTCAATGGAAGAATATCAGTGTTGCCAACTTCCAAGAATCCCTCCAAAGAAAACCAAGGTTTGCACTACCATACCGCCGATGGGCCTTCACTTGTTGCCAAATTGCCTCTCAGAAAATATTTATTTTCTGAAGAATTTTAAAAATATTTTTCCTCGAAGTTTTCCGTCCTCATGAAGAGCGCGGGTCAAGTTTCTCCTTCGGGCACGAATTGAAAAGTATTTCAGATTGATTGGCTACTAGTATAAATGAGATTGACACTCCATGTGTGTGTAACATCTTGGTACACCGTCCCCATGAAGAGCGCGGGTCAAGTTTCACTTTCGGGAGTCGATTGAAAACATACCAGTATCGAACATATTTGATAGTCTCAGAGTGTGTTTATAAGCCCCGAAAGATTCTGCGTATCATTTTTTGAGTCGCTGTGCAGCCTTTTCGGATAAAGTTTATAAACACAATTTGATTGATAGGATGTGTGATGCGATCTATTGACCTAACTAAGGTATAAGATCGATAAGTCTGTAAGTGAATATAAATTTATGGACGGCGAAAAATTCAATGACAATGATTGGAAAAAGGGGGTTCACGAATTATTTGAAAAACTTGTTGAGTTTGAGTTGATTAGTTTCACTGACTGTCAGTTCAATGTCTTTGGCTTTGAGAGGACCATGAAGCAGAAGTGCTTCGGTTTTAGAATCTTCTGTTAGTAGCTTTTTCTTTTTTAGTGCATTTTTGATCGTTTTCGTAACTTCTTTAGTAGTCTTTTGTAGTTCTTGAGTCTCGTTGCCAGTTATTATTAAAAGGGTGTCATCTGCATATGCTTTCTTGAGGATTTCTGGTGTTGTGTGCAATTTTAAGATTTCGTCGAAAATTAATATCCATATGGTAGGGGAAAGGCAGCCTCCTTGTGCTGTTCCAGAATTAATCTGAACTTTGAATTCTGGGAAAATTAGATATCTATCTGATAGGTAAGATTTCAGTATTTCTATCAAGTATTGAGGGATTTGTCTTTTAATCATTGTGTTAATAACGTCGTCCCAACTTACACTATTAAATGCGTTCTTAATATCAATATTTAACAACAAAAGCAGTCTTTTTTGAGTGGCGCTGTTATGCATATGGTGATGATATATGTCTTTTAAGTTGTTTATTGCGTCCGTTGTACTGCGATTTTTCCGAAATCCAAATTGAGCTTTTGAAGGAGTGAATGAGTTTATTAGTCTTTGATTTAATATAAATTCGAAGATCTTAGCTATTGTATTTATCATACATATAGGGCGGTATGTTTTTTGTTTCTTTGCGTGTTTGCTTGGTTTTGGGATTAGAGCTAATTTTGAAGTTTTCCATTCTTTAGGAAAGATGCACTGTTGTAGCATGGAGTTTAACATATAAATTTTATAGTTTATAATTCTTAAAAAAATTTGTAGGAACACAATCAAAATCAGAATTTGCAGAAAGATGCACTGTTGTAGCATGGAGTTTAACATATAAATTTTATAGTTTATAATTCTTAAAAAAATTTGTAGGAACACAATCAAAATCAGAATATTCTAAATGTTCACCAAATTTAATATACATATATGATATATAGCAAAACCAAACTTTAATGTTGCTGTAATAACTATTGTACCTGTTCACATTTTTTAACTTCACACAACTGAGATAATCCTCTATTTCCAATGAATTAAATAAATTAACTAAACCAAGCAATATATCCGTCATTTTTTCCTAAGAAAATAAACCGTGAAACTGAAGGCTTTTCTTGAGTGAATTTTGCAGTGAACTCAAAAACAATGTGTTGATAAGGCGCGTCATTAACTCGATCATATCAACCCCTTTAGTTTTCATTTACAGAGATTTCAAAATAGACAAGCAGCACAAAAAAAGAATTCACGATCCAACACAGCAAGGTCAACGACGCACCTTGACGAGACCTTGTATTGTGAATGTAGAAAGCTATTCGATCGAATTTAAGTTTTTTGATCTGCCTCAAGCAAAATCTTATCAGATTCTTGAAGAAAAGAGCTACGGAATAATTTAAGCGAAGAAAGGAAAAATTCTGTAGAACTCCTAGAGGATAAAGTCGATTTAAAGGTATTTTGGGGCTAAAATACCCAAATCACCGGTAGTATAAATCCCGTTATATTATTGGAAAGAAATTGACTCGATATAAATGCAATTACATTAAATACGTCTTGATTTTGTTATTTTAAACGTCTTCCCATGCAAAGAAGTTCAACCATGTCGTTGCTTTATTCATTCATGAATTGAAAGTAAGCAATCTACACCCCGAAAATCTACTGATTTGCCGTAAAAAATTGCAAAAACTTGATATACAAGGTCGATGCACCCACTCGTTGAATTCACCAACCAATTTCGTGAGTGCAATTGTGTAAAAATCAATATGCTATAGTTATTTTGGGTGCATTTATTTTTCATAAAACAATAATAATTTCAATCCCGAAAAACCATAAATTTTCCGTATAAAATCGAAAAAATCGAAATGTGTCGACTCCCTGACGTGAAAATTAGATTCTACGTGTGTAAATACTTATGTATCGATATGCTGGACAGAAACTATGTGTGGACACAGTCAGAAGCCCGCGGCAACATTAATTCAACAGAGAAATGATATTGAATATGATATTGAATCATATTGAATTTTATAAATATTTTTCTTCGAGGTTTTTAGATTCTTCAGATCAAACTACGAACTAAATTCTCGTAAAAATCGGAAGAAAAATATTTATAAGTATTCCCAAAAATTTGTGATTTGTCGGAGGAGATTTGGCAACGCTTGAAGGCTCATACGGCGTTCTTCCTCAGCACCGGATGCCTCGCGGTTGTTAGTGGCATACGCCGTGTCATCGATGGGCGATATCTCTCTTAATAATATATTCAGTTTTAATATATATTAATGTATATTAATATTATATATAATACATATTCCAAAAGATTCGTCAGTCTTGATAATCCTAAAGCTTAAACAATTAAAATACGAATCTGTGAGGAGCGCACCTGACCCGCCGCACGGTGGATCGAATCAATTAGAGAGGTCGGACATTAAATTTTTGATTAAAGCTGCAAATTTTTATGTTTATTTCGTCACATTTTAATTTTCAAGGGGTACTTACCGAAGAAAACTTAACGAGAAAAGCAATGGAGCCACTTTTAGACCCTCAAAGGTTTGTATAAACGGAGTTACAAGCGTTTACAGTTTCCAAATTTTGTCCGACACGACTTCATTTCAGGTGGCATTCAGCGTCTTCGCGAAGTGGATCTCGGCACCGAAAGACATCCCTCCATCCATCGAATCGGTCACGAACCTACAGGCGCAACTCGAGAAGAAGACCCCGAAGATCAACGAAACCCTTTGCGCCGTTTTCATGTCGTACCTCCTCGAAACAGGTTACTACACCATCGGCGCCCACAATCGAGGCTCGCAAATGCGTCTGGCCGACCTGGAGACGGTGGTCCCTGTCATGGCTCAGCTCTTCTTGAGCGGCTACTACGAGCGCTATTACGAGTACACAAGCAACGCCAAAGTGATATTCCTGGCCGCCGTCGCCAAACTGTCCCCCGCCCAAAGTTCCTACGACCGACTTGCCTGGGCAATACACAACCTGTATCTTCATAGTTGCTCCAAGCTCGTCGACCAGCGACCTGGGTTGCTGGGCAATTTAGTCGCCATTTTCTCTTCGACGCAGGCGGTGCATGCTGGTGTTACGGACGTCGTTTACGGGAAGCGGGTACCGCTCGACAGACGGAAGGTGAGTGAATTGAGGGGCCGTTTAAGTATTTTATCACGCACTTTTTCCAATTTTTTGACCGTCCCTCCCCTTGTAATGCACCCATAACGTAGTCCTACATCACATCCTTTGCCATTACGTAACGCTGGGCTTGACGCCCTCCCCCTTGTGACGCACCGTAACGCTGCGCTGGCTCAAACTCTCCTCCCCTAAGTGCGTTACGTAATACTTGAACGGCTTTTAAGCTACAATGATGAAGGGCTTAGCCTAAGTTATGGATCAGGGCCGGATTTACCTATTTGCCGCCATGGGCCACCTGTATTTTGCCGACCCCTTCGTGTTGGTTTTGAAACATCAATGAAAACCATCAAGTGAACGTGCCGGATGAGGAGGGGTGTATAAGACGCGTTTACTTGTGTTGGGCAAATTTTTGTGCAAGCCCTGTCAACACTAGCAAAAGTTCATGGAACTTTGCGACAAAGTTAAGTTCCGTAAATCTCTCTCAGTGTGGACAAGGCCTTCTATTTTCTGATGTGAACGAGAAATTAATGGAAGAACGAATATAAATGTGGTTTAGTAATTTTAACTTCCGCCGCCGTGCCGATCGCACTGTTTTGCGCCGCGCAATGCGTGTAGTATTTCTACAGTCTTGTAGGCGCTATGCGCTTCGCGCCGCGCCGGCCGTTGCCGCTGACCGCACAATGTTTGACGCAATGCGTGAAGTATTCATGCACTCTTGTAGGCGCTTATATGCATTACATGCCGACCGTCGCGCCGAGGGTTCCTCTTATTCATCTCAAGTCCTTGTCATCATTGCTTTCTGCGCTGCGCCGTACCAGGCCAAATTGCGTGTATGGTTTCTATCTTAACTCGACTAATTAAAGATGATGTCTTTTGTATCACCGAAAGACGACATAATTAGAAATTACTATACTTTTACTCTGAGAGATTTTGTCGCCTTTTCTCGCTGGTGATTTTTTTTCTGAATCCGAATTTTTTTATACCTACATTTAAACAATTTGCCGCCCCCTAAATTTGGCCACCATCGGCCGCAGCCCATGTGGCCACCTCTTAAATCCGGCCCTGTTATGGATGCGTTACGGGTGAGAAGGGAGTACAAAACTGCACTTTGGACATCTGGAATCCAGCATATCGATGAGCAAGGGGCGAGACCATACGTTTCTCCGTTTGCGACGTTGTGGACTTTTTATCATGCTTAATTCTTTTTATCACCAGAATATTCTTTATAAATTTTAAAGCAAGCAAAACTTAGCCCTATCAACTTGTATGTTGCCTGCAGAGACAAGAGACCCTCCACTTTTGCACTTTTGGCGACAGGCGGAAGCTTTTACTATCGGGGATTCCACATTTCCTTATGGAAAATTATAAGGGAGCAACAGTCATCACTCTTTTTTCGGCGGTTGACCTGTACCTGCATGGTGGATGATGAGCTTCGGGTGACGTCATGAGCCAAACAAGTTTCCCAAACTTCGGCCATTTTCGGCTTGTTTGCAGAACAAAACTGCCAACACGTTGTTAAACATTAACCATGTAGGACAACAACAGTACAAACATCAACAGTAGAATGCTGAAGTCCCGAACGTAAAAGCTTCCACGATGGCCAAGATACTAGTGGAGTGTCTCTTGTCTCTGGTTTTTTTTTTTTTTTTTTTTTTTTTTTTTATATATATTCAAACAATTATTTATTTATTAAATGACAGGGTAGAATGATACGTGATAGTGTATCACCTGAAGGCCTAAGTTTACATATTATTAGTTTTAAAGATCCTATATACAGTTTATGATTAGTTCCCCTCCGTCCCATTGAAGCTTATTTCTTGTCTCTGGTTGCCTGCCTCATTTTTAACGTCGCATTTTTCTAAATAACCTGAGAGAAATTCGCAAAAATTATTATATGACATCATGCCCCCTTAGTTTACTTTGAAAAATATTCGTGGAAGTATCCTCAGACCGTTGTGATCTTTTCAGAGTGAAGGACACTCTTTTGGGAGTTTGGACCTGATGGTAACGTTCGGAAACGAGACGTCGACACATCTGGGCGTTCTGATGGAGCTGGTCCTTTGGAAATCAGCCGAGCTGGCGATGACTCAGCTGGAGACCTTCGAGCACATGGAGGCTTTCAATGATTTGCCGGAAGAAATGCGCCCGCGGGATGTTGTTTTGTTGGGGGTGAATTTGGACAAAACGTGCAAGTGCACGCTGAGGTACAAGTACGGCAATGAGAGCACCGGTCAAACATCTTTCCCAAAACCGCCAAATCCTGAAAAGTAAAAGGTTACTCGAGCGAAATATTGAGTTGAATCGTTCTATATCGGATGTGAAGGGAGGTTAATTTTTGTCGAGAAGCTGAATTTTAATGTTTATCGCATTGCTTCAAGTTGGCATAAAACTAAACATTGGAATGGACCACAAGACGAAATACGACTTTAAGCTTTTTGATATGTGTATCGTAAGCAAAATTTTACGAATAACACGATTCGCGCAGAAAGAATGACGTTTTTGGAGAAAATTTTCCAGCCTAAAGAGGGTGGGGTCTAGACTTCGAGAGTCCTTTCCCCGTGGCTGTGCGCCACTGATGAGTACGAAGTGGAGAGTTTTGGTCAAACAGTTATCCCGAAACCTGCATTCTCATAGATTCAAGAGATTTATTAAGTGAAAAAGGTGTGATGAGTGTTTTTTTATTTGAAAAACAGGAAATATAATGTTTTTTATGAAACTGATTCGAATGAAATGAGTTTGGTATGAGAAAGTGCAGCAGCTGAAGTTCTAGCCGATCATCTTTCCAAACTAACATACTGTCGCTCAAATTGTTTACCTGAAGAAGAGTTGCGGTGGATGGTTTTCGGTATTTATATTTTTCCTTGTTTGTAGATTTTATTCAAAGATTTCACCTACTACAATACAGTATTAAGATATTTACAATTTAATTTACACTAAAGCTACAGAATGATAACTGGTGGGTTGGTTACAACCCTATTGTGGAGTTGGACTCTGGGGCAGGGTCCAAATTAACAAATTAAGGCAGGGTCCAAATTAACAAATTAAAATTTCTCTGTTGAGAAAGTTAAACTGGACCAGGATTTTGATGATTTTCTACAGTTTTTATGCATTGCAATTTTGTTTATCATTTACATTATAGATGATGAGGTGACTTGACTGTAGGTGATGAGTGGTCTTCGATAATGACAGTAGTACTTTTCATGAGGAACATGTATAAACAAATTAAAAAGAGCAAGTTTTTTTCTTTTTTTTAAAAAAAAATAAAATCCAATGTACATTCTAATTTCAGTTGGAATAAGTTTTCCGCAATGTCGTAGTTAAAAAGGGGTTGAACATGCCAAGAACTGCACTTGAACGATTTTTCACCAGTATGCACACGCATGTGGGTAATAATTGTGGAATCGACCATTGGGTAATAAGTTGCATTTGAACTGTTTTTCACCGGTATGCAGCAAAAATGTTCACTGTATTGTAATTATGTGGCACAGAGTTTCACTGTTGTAATTTTACGGTTGAAAGTTTTACTGTGGGAATCCATAGATGATTAAAGTCAAGCAAAAAAAAAAGGGCAAAGCCCTCCTCAGGTAAAAAGTTATTGTTCATTTTGCAACGAAATTTATTTGGGTTAAACTACAATATTAGGTAATACATACATTTAAGTATTGAACATATTGTGACAGAGGTAAAAGTATTTCCTCGTCCCTCAGGGGTTAGCTAACCTCAGGTAAAAGTTGTAAACCATTTGTTGATGCATATGCATGTGCCAAAAATCACAATATCACAGGTAGATGTTAAATGTAAGAAAGACAAATCGGCAAACCATCATGTTTAGAAATAAAAAGTGAGTTTTTATAAGAATTTGCATACATCTAAATGTCTTATTTATTTACAATTTATTCCTTCTTTGGAGGCGGACTGACTTCAATTATAAGAGGAGTCCTTAATGATGAAGGAAAAGAAAAGGTGCAAGAGAGACCTCGAGATATTTTGCGAAATAATCCGGAAGTGCCGTACTGGTCCGATCAATTGTGTCTAAATGAGTTTGTTTGAGGCATTTTAGGTCAAAATTTAGGGGATGCTCACCTTTAAGCCCCCCGTGCCAGTAGGCTCTTCTTTTTTTGGCATAATAGAGTCTTGAATCTTACATTTCCCCTTTCCCTCTCGCTCTCTAGTCTTCTCTCTTAGAGCTTAAATAATTTCTCCTGTAAAAAAAAATCCAACATTATCACCATCACTCAAAGAGAAAAAAAATTGGTAAACCTCTCTTCAACCTATCATAATGCGCATATGATATGGAATGCCTTTCAGTCACGCATTTTACTCACTGCCATGAGTAGTAAATTAGAAGACCGTTTAATCGTGACATTTCGAGGCAATTTTGAAGTTTAACGAAGAATTACACCAGGAACTTCCATTTTAAAACGCTTCCGGTTCCATTTAAAATTCCTCTTATTCACTGTCAGCTTCCATGACTCTGACATGATTTTCGTCTCGTGAATTTAACATTCAGGTCTTCTTGAGATCGAATGATGAGGGCAAAACTAATCTTCAGGTCTTTGAGCCCATGTTCTGACTCTAGTTGAAAATCTCGCAAAATATATGATAGAACCACTTTTTCTTCCATCAGTGCAAATTTCTGACCTGGAAACAGATTTAAATAGTATTACATAATGTAAAAAGTGTAATTTTATAATGAGACAAAATAAACTTAAAATAGGACTAGGGCTGCAAAATAAAAACATAAAATAAAATACCCGGGACATTTTGCGGTATCTCAACTGCATTTTCAACCGGAAAAAAGGAAGCTTAAAAAAAAAAAAACTGAGTCTTACCGCTGTTACTGTGAGAGTACGCGGGGTTTTCATTTTATGTTTTTATGTTGCGACCTAAGTCTCATTTTATGTTGTTTTTGTATTATAGTTTCGGGAAGCAGCTTTTTTTTCTTTTTCTTTTTTTTGATAATAATAATTAGTAAACCTAGTTTTGCATTATCTCATGACTAAGGTATCTTCTAATACAAGTTGCTTACTTGAGTGACATCGACTCAGTCACATTCCATTGTGTGCGTTTACGAGGAGCCAATTACACATACGAGTAAGAAAGGGGTGGGTGCAAAATCGACAAAATTTCCCCTCATGGATGTTGACCAAATTTCAGTATGTCATTCCTCACTATGGGATACGCCTTTTCCCAAAATTTCACGGCCTGAAACGAATTTCTCTCCGCGTAGCAGCGTTGCCAAGTTGAAAACCGTCGAGTTCCATATCTTTTGAACGAAAAGAGATATTGAGATGCAGTTTGCGCTAAAATTCTCCAAAAATTGCGTTCTTTCGATATATGTACTCAATTTGATCGTTTAGGTAATTTAAGATTGCAATGATGCCNACACACACGAGTAAGGAATTTCAAACGATTCATCTGTTGCTCTCCAAATGTGCGAAATAGGATATTTTTGTAGTTTAGCAAGTCCTTCATTTTACTATTTATGAACGATTTTGATTCTAAATCCAAATAAGTGTAAATATTTTTTCTAAATTTAACTTGGACACAAACCAAACTAAGGAATCGGACAAGGAATCTCTTTCAACTCATGGCCGGTATCAACCAGCGCTGTGATAACATCTTAATGGCGCCACGCGTGTTGCTTGTCGTTACAATTGAAGGCATTTCTTGTTGATGCAACGTCTCGTAGCTGCTCGCGTCACTCTCCAAATTCTCCCTTAATCACTATTCTTAAACACAGAAATTCTGGCAAATGTAATCGACATGTCAAATGCAAATGGCAAATCAGGCGTTTTGTCGAATTTCTGGGCAGTCAGTAAATATAAAGCTTTGTAGACTCGTGCAAGCTTTTCACGAAGAATGTTCAACTTTAATTTTGCTCGAATTTAAAAATTGACCGAACTACGATTTTTTTTTGATCTTCACAAACAATGCATTTTTTGCTAATTTAAACAATTAAATAAAAAATACTCCTTATTTTATATATTACGCACAATTTTTAATTAAAATATTTACTAATTTAAATGCTAGAAATCATTACAATTGAATCAGTTGCTTTCAAAAAGAAACAGATCCATTCCTCGATGAGTCTCAGTTAGCATGTCTTTTTATGCAAACTAAGGCTCATACAAAAATGGAGTTGTTCCTTTTTAAAAACAATTGATTCAACCACCTCTAAATGATCTAAAATGTACCAAATAGGTAATTCGTATTTACATTCATTGAAAGAGACTGTTCAGAAATAATCGGATGGATCTTTCTCGATGTTTCATTCCTTCAATGAGGAACATTTCGAGTATTGGTGAATCTTTCCCCTTAAAAATTAAGTCAGGTTTAGATCAAAGTTTCTCCACCTTCTCTTACATTAATCTAAAAAATTTGCCAATTTCGATCGAAATTTTCTTTAAAAATGAGTACTATGCATTGACTTGAGCTTAATGTGAGGTTCGGCTTGATGTCTCCTCGCCTCTTTCCATCGTACAAAGGTCAGACATTAGCTGAGGCTCCTAGGGTCCTAGGGCTCTGATGTTATTATCGAATGGCCCTCAGGACAATATCTCGTCAAAAATTATCGAGGTATTCAAAATTGCAGTCTGCGGATAAATACTTAAAACCGTGTCTAGGCGCATGAAAATATGTTTGACTCGAGTTTTAGTCTCGGTAAGTATAAAAAGTAAGACTGATTGTGATTGTACCTATGCAGTTCCTGGGCCCTGCAGCGAACGGAACGTAGGCGTAAGGATGGCGACCCGCACTTTTTTCCGGACTGAAATGATCCGGATCAAACTTATCCGGATCCGGAAACACCTTCGGGTCTCGGTGGAGGTTGTACAAATTAATGCCTAAAAGGGCTCCTTTTGGAACGGTGTAATTGCCTGGATAAATACAAAGTAAAATATGTTAATTTATATCAATTTATACTTAGAGATGAGCTGCATGTATGATACCCCCAAAGAAAATTGTGTATTTTAACCCGCATATTCTCACTCATCTGACGTAAGGATGTATCTCAATTTCCTCATGAGCTCTGCTCTACATATGAGTCCATGCTTTCTGGGGATCATGTAGAAATCGAGATACGCTCTTACGTCAGAGGAGCAACGTTATTATTTTGATACCAGCAATTAGCCAGCGCTTCGGACGGAACGTAATGGCACGCCTTTCTTATTTATATATTATATATTTATATTATATATTAGCCCGTTTATATCCGATGACGATATAGTTAGCCTAACTTAGAGGTTGAACTTTGTCATGCATATTGCTATGATACTTTCACATATTGAGCCTGGACGATATTTATTTAAGAGGAGGAGTACGGTTCAACATAGAAGTAAAAGGCTACAAATTTTTAGTAATTCTCCAGAGACTTAATAGCAAGAATAGAAAGGCTGGACCAGTAATTTTTGTCACAAGGGGCTGTTCATAAATAATATGCAAACCTGAAATTTTGATTTTTTCACCCTCTCCTACTACCCTCTTGACGCTTTTGTGGCGCGGGTTGCAATTTTTCAACACGTAATAACAAAACAGCGGAACACTTATCTTGACACCTAGTAGAGTGTTACGTACTTCATTCACCACCCCTAATGGCAGCATCATTTATGGTGCATTATTGGCGTTACTTTCCAATCGCCCAATCTTTTTCAATTCCACCGTACACTACATCTGGACACTAATAAAATACTAGGGTATCAATCCAGCTAACCAGCTTCTGCTCAAGAGACGCTCCGCATCCCGTAAAGACGTATTTCTGCCAAACGGAACTATGTGCATTAAGCCATGAGCCCTGAGACCCATGAGAATACACGCATAACTTTGAATATGTCATAATGCGCATAGTTATCCGTTTAGCAGAAATTCGTCCATATATGGATTGCATTTTGCAAAAAGGAACCACTAGCATTGCAATATTGCTAAGATTGTGCAACTTCTTTCGTCTTGGAGGAAACCCCCGATTATCCATTAATAATTTCTATTTTACTCGCTGAAAACTGTAAATTTAAGACAAAAATTACCATCTAAATTTCATAGTTTTTCACGATTTCCGCAATTTTATTGCAAAAGATGAAGTTGCACAACCTTAGCATCATTGCAATGCTAGTGGCTCCTTTTTGCAAAATGCAATCCATATGATGTCCTCCTACCACGATCATGATTTGAAAATTTGAGGATTCATCTAACAAAAGTTGACAGCTGTAAAAATGTTGGAAGTTGGCTCTCCAATATCACTAGGTGTAACAATGGCAAAAACTGAAAAATCGAGTAATACAATCAATGAACTCATATTTATGATGGAATGAAATGTTTCGCCTTAACCTCAAACTTACCGACGGCTTACATCTGAGCCTCAAAAACCAGGATCGGGTTCTATTGTCAGAGAACATTACCTACCTACTTGCATATCTTCTGCAACCTCTCTTCCGAGCATAGGAACACTAGGAAATAAACGCAGACTTTCTTTTATTACTTGCTCGAGGTACTTCATTTTTTGTAGATCTCCCATCGTGGGCTTTCTCTTTGAACCTTGAAAAATATCGTCAAGTTCTTGGTGACACTTATCCTGTCAAAATAAAAAGACAAGATTTTTTATACTCGTATAATGGCACAAAATGTCTATTTCATTCGTTCTAACAACAGAAATTTTTCGTTGGACCCCAAGGTAATTTTCTTCTTTTTTTTCTTTTTTTAAGAAAAATATTACACTAAATTTGATGTTTATCAAACATGCTGGTAAGCTACTTCCGTTTGCTATGTTTCTAGCACAAGAAAAAAATAATCACCAGGGAGCTTTTGAAGCCTGCTTAACAATCCATCATTTTGTAAAAATCGAAATACGAGGGTACGACCCTCGTACATAATTTAAATTAGAGCAGAAATAATTTAAATATCTATTTGCTATTCTTATCCAAAAGTCAATATTTGTTCCTAGTGTGGAATACGATTATGAACGTTATACATTCAAAGTTTCCCTATTCAGGTACGCCTTCTATTTTGTTTGGATGTTGATGATCCCTAGCTTTGGTTGCCTTCCTACTTTCTCCGAGGAAAAATGTTCTTCTGTACTCGTAAGAGCTTAGAAAGAAAAGAACGAAGTAACTGACAATTACCTGTATCTCTGGGTGGTTACCCAAAAGAAATAATGTGTAACCCATCGAAACAGCAGTTGTATCATGACCCTGAGAAAAAAGAGTAATAAGGCTTAAGAATCCGACTGACCTCAAAAAATATTAAGTACAAGATGTATTGCTGTATAATTGTTTCCAAAAATTCCAAAAGTTTTAATGCGACTGTACGTGTATGTATGAGATATGATTGATGCTTCGCAGCCCGTGACAATACAATATATCGACGGTGTAAGTCGGCAAACACATAACTCGGTTTGCGACGTCGCGTCGCAGACTTCCTGTCATACTTTATTTTTTAAACAGAGAACTACTCAACGGCAATTCTTTAAAACTTCCGTGATTTTTCTTCTCTGTGCGAAGAAAATTCTGCATAAATAATTTGTTCTCTTTCAAAAAAATAACACACAGGCGGAGATTTTCAGACACCGCAAACGAGTGTCGATTTACACCGTCGATATACGTGTTAATAATATGACGTGTATATACAATAATAAAACAATACACACCGGGTAACAAGGCTAATTTTCACGAATATAACCAAAACGTTTCGGTTGAATTGAGGACAGAGACAAGAAACGCTGCACTAGTACGAGATCTTGCCCATGGTGGAAGCTTTTATACTCTCGGGACTTCACTACTTCAGCATCTACTGTTGACTTACCTACATGGTTGATATTCAACAAAGTATTGGCAGTTTCATTTTGCAAACAAGCCGAAAATGGTCGAAGTTTGGGAAACTTGTTTGGCTCATGACGTTACCCGAAGCTCACCGCACCATGTAGGTAGGTCAACAGCCGAAATTAGGAGCGTGATGACTGTTGCTCCCTTCTAATATTTGTCCATAAGGAATTGTTGAATCTCCGAAAGTAAAAGCTTCCACCTGTCGCCAAGAGGTCAGTTGAGGGTCTCTTGTCTCTGACTGAGGAAGGCTGAGTTTTCAGCCGAAACGTTTTGGTTATATTCGTGAAAATCAGCCTTGTTACCCGCTGTGTAAATTGTTTTATTATTGTGATCATTGCGATTGAATCACAATGGAGTTAAATAATATACTAATAATATAATAAAGAGTAAATTAAAACAAAAAGACCCCTTATCATGTCGTATTTCTGGATATCGATATTAAAATCACGAAAAGTACTTAATGTGCGGGTCGTCTTCAATAATTGAAAATGATTGTATTCTATTCATTCCTAAAAATACACTGCACATTACGGGAAACAATAGTTGTTTGTGGACATCGCAAAAGTCTAACTTCAAACTTACCTCAAACATAAAAGTATTAACTTCATCTCTCAAATCTTCATCCGACAAACTGACGGAGTTTTTTTCGCATGCTTCCAGTAAAAGGTCAAGGAAAGCCATTTTTCGAGACCCTGAGAAAAGAAACCTTTAACACTTAATTGCTTGGTTGTCACTTTTTGAATACGATAGGAAATTCCTCAAAAAAGTGATGAAAAATGTGATTATTGTGTATGTTTCTTGTCTGTGCGTTTGTTTTATAATACAAATGAAAAAGTTTTAAGTAATAATACTTGTTATACATTTTATTGTCCGCTATACTGGAGTAGTTTCTCAGAGGGATGGGAGTACTGTGCTAGCTTAATTACGGACATTTTTTCTTCATTTTTCCTGAGAAGATTTACTAACAACAATGTCTTTAATTCGAAATGAAGAACATTTAAATATTTTCTTTTTTTGCTTTGGTTTCTTAATTGGACGTATTTCTATCAAACGGACCTATGTGCAATACGACATGATCCTTGAAACCCATATGAATACACGCATAACAGAGCTCACGTCATAATGCACATAGTTCTGTTTGATAGAAATACGTCCAATTTTAAGTCAAATCTATTCTTTAATATGAGAATTCTTCACTCTACCTTCATAAGAGAGAGCATCATCACATAATGATGTGTAAATTTAATGATCATCTGAGGCACGAAAAATCTTAGATGATTATCACAACATAGTTGCTGAATTATGCTGTACGCGTAGGAGTTTCTTGTACCTCTTCATTCGTGACTCGAATGATAATTTGAACATCATCACGATGTTTCAATATTACTAATCCATTTCCGGAAAACAGATTCACTTTTCAGATTAACTTTTGAAAATTCCTAAAATCTTGTCGGAGAATGTCAGACACACGGCAGTTTGCATTTGAGAGCCCGCAGTCACAGTAAACAAGATCATCCTGAGGTGGGGCTAAAATAAAAATAAAGGAAACCAAAATACTCTTTTAAAAAAATGAGCCAGTAGTAATTTTAGGCCCACTCTTATATGTTACCTCCGGTTAAAAATTAACGAAAGGATATTCTGAGTGTGGAAATATGTAGGTGCGTTATGCGGGGTAAATGAAAGGAATGATTACACGTACCCTCAAACTCCTCGCTTTCTCGTTCTAAATGATTTCCTTTATCCTCTCTCATACACCGCCTGTTTTTGATTGCCTTAAACAGTAAAAGGACACAATTAAATTACTGAAGCCGATTTTTTAGTTTCGAAATGTTATATCTTCATTTCGTTTTGGTGTCAGTACGAAATAAAAACTTCAAACCGTAATCTTTGACTCATTACTTGTGACGACTAATTCTGACATCAACAGAAGAGCTGACAATATGCAATTTAAACTGTAATAAGCACACAAATCAAATTTCAGAGGTGCTTGCGCCTTTTCATCAGAGCTAATTATTAATATTGCATTGATTATTTCATACGTTGTGACAGGCAAAAGTCTATCGCTATGGGTTTAGGACATTGTTCATTTAGCACAAGTGCTGATCGAGGGTCATAAAGGTGCTAGTAGGGTGAATGTTAATATCCAACATTATTTAAGTACTATTATCAAGAAATCCCATCCGACAGTTTCTTCGAATTAGAGTGAAAAAGGAGAGGAAACTAAACAATTTAATATATATATATATTTTTTTTTGATCGATGGCAATTTTACCTATGCTATTTCATTTTAATCATCCCTTTCCACGAGAAAATATGATTTCTGTCATATTGCAGTAATATACATTATTTTTTTCAACTTCTTCAATCACTCAAAAATTAGTTATGAAAGCATCGATTGAAATATAGGTATCTCCTGAAAATATACTTATTTGGGCTGCCTAGCAGGTTACTTCCATGTCCGGGTAAACAATAGGTGGACTTCGGGTTATGAAGTCCACCTATTATTAATGGTACACCTATATGTTATTATTATTAATGTGGGAAATATTAATGAATAGGTTTAAGTATCTCATATTGGCCCATGGAGGCATGGAGGACAAAAATTAATCCTCCAAAAATATACATCTCGGTGTTTTTCGGTAGGCGTGTTGCCTATCCTATGATTTTGAAGGCGAACTTCAGATAAACGACATCAGCGACTACAAGGAACTTTCAGTGCGTGAGTATCCCCTCCCCTCTAAAAGTTTAACATGCTGTTTAACTTGAGTTATCAAACTCACCATATCGGTAAGCTCAAAAATCGTGCTCAAATCCAGCCAGTGTTTTCGCCCAGTTGGTGACAGGAAAAAAAGCACTTCATTCCATAGCCAGGGTTTCGTCATTCTGGTCATTACCATTGTGCTGGTACTATAAAATAAAATAAAAATATGTTGGTGAAATATTTTGGAGTGAACGCAGCTCTACAAGCTCGTAGCTCGTGTCATAGCTCGATAAGTTTACTTAAAATTTTTAGCGGGGCGTTTTTTGTCAATTTGGATCGAAAAATCGAATTTTAAAATTTGACGAAAACCTCGCTTTTGGTTTCTTGAGAATAATTCCGGTAGCGATTTTGTCCATTTTTGTGCCAGTGGAAGTCCGTAAGTTACATTATAATATTTTCATGTAGACAATGGCGATTTTCAAAGTTGGCAACACTGTTTCTTCCATTTAAATCGATTTAAAATATCATTTTAGGTGAAGCAAGCTGCCTCACCAAGAATCGATTGTTTTACATGCATTTAAATGGAGAAAAAACAGAGTTGCATACATTTAAGAATCGTCACTGCATGCTATGCTTAAATCTGTTAACTAGAGTCGAACTTCAATTCACAGTCTGACAAAACACCATTTCTGGCCCGACCATAGAAATCCCTACCTGCGTAGGTACACTCACCTGCAAGGGGAAACTAATAAATTGATCTTGAGTGTTGTTTCTGAAATGAACTAAAATAGTGATTCCTTGCCGTATAATGCGAAAGTAAGCTAAATTTAAAAAAGTGTCTCTAGAAAGTGTGTTTTTTGAATTGCAAACTTAACTGTGGCTCAATGCTTGTTCGAAAAAAAACAACTTTGTAATGTAATTGAAATAAAAAATATGAAGAAACTCACTCCTCAACAGCCCGAATGTAGTTGTGGTTGGGATTCTTCAAAGCGTCAATTTTGATTCCCATAGCAGTTTCTACGAAAGCAAAAGATAAAAGAGAAATAGAAGTATTAATTGTATATATGGATTGAAAAATCATACTTTAAGAATTTGACCTCTTATCAAATGAAAACTTAGATTCAAGAGTGTTCACTAGATTTCATATCATCTCGTGCTACGCATGTCAAAGCATCATCGTTCATTCATAACCTCAAAAATACTTTGATCTCTCCGATTTTGATTCATCAGTGCAACAGTGGGCCGTATATTTGGTTAACATTTTGATCAATTACCTTAATTTGTCAATGCTTCAACCATTTTTCAGTGATTTATTTAAGTTAAACTTTCAATATGTTATGTTAAAAAATAGAATGAAATTAAAAATTTGACTTTCGTGAAAAGGATATAATTACAAATCTCCATGAGCTCATTAAAATTAAAATTTTAAAACGAAAACTTTTCCTCGGAATGAAAAATAAATTCAACAAAAATCAGATCTCTTAATCTTCAAATTTGGCTCCGATCTGCCAAACTTGATCTAACTGCCCCAACTTTACTTACCACAGATATTGTCCAAGGCAATGAGTTTCATCTGCGTCATCACATTGACAAGTGTTCCGTCCGGATTCTGACGTAACTGATCGATGAGTGTTAGCGTGTTGTTGATGAACACATCGCAGAAATCGCTCAAAATTGAGAAGTGAAAAGCGGGAGTTATGAGTTTTCTGCGTTGGTGCCACAGCTGACCTGCCAAAGAGATAGACGTGTATTCTGCTGTGCTAAGGAAAAACGCCGTATGAACTTTTCGGCGATACCAAATTTCCTCTGGCAAATCACTCATTTTCAGGAAAATTTTTGAATATTTTTCTTTTAACTTCTCAGATGATTTTGTTCGCAATTACTAAAGTTCCTGAAAATTTCAAGGAAAAATATTCGTAGCTTTCCTCAAAAATGAACATTTTATCGAAGGAAATTTGGCAACTCTCGAATGTTCATACGGAGTTCTTCCTTAGCACGGCAGTATTTTAATAGTAGTAAAACTTAGGAAAATCGGCATAAAACATGTCGTTGACAGTTTTTCATTTCTCCGAGTTTCCGGGAAAAAGTTATACTTTTTCTCCAAGTTGTCTGCAAGAGCAAGTGTTTGGAACATTCTAAATTTTCCAAAGAAACTTCGTTTTGGTACAGATAAACAGATACAAATATCCGTGGGAATTTCGCTGAATTAATCAGTCGTAAGAGAAATATTTCTAATTTTTCTGGGGAAATAATTAAAGCAAATTTCCATACATACAGAGGAAAAGCACTGTTCTGAGGCAATGAATGGGCTTACGGCCAAGTATGATTCGCAGTTAAATGTGAAATATATGAAAAATGCCAAAAAAAACGATTCATGACTTTCCTCAAATATAAAAATTTTATAGCAGAGATTTTTCGACAACCTAATATTAATACGGCGTTCCTTTTTAGCACAACCGTAAGTATTACTCCTTTGTTTTGAATTCAATGGCTCTATACCAGTGGCGATTTTGCAAGTTGTCAACACTGTTTTCCTCTGTTTAAATGTATGCTAACTAATAGATCCTCGGCAAAGCAGCTTGCCAAACCTAACTAACTAACTAACAAGTTGCTCCTACAGCGCTTCTGTGCGCTCTGCGACACCCAACCGCCACTGATAGCGATCCTCCTAGAGCTCCCCCGGCAGATCACATCTCCATCTCACATCTTCCAACTAAAATTGATATTTAAAATGGATTTAAACGCAGGAAATACGCAGTTTTGCCAACTTGCAAAATTGCCAGTGCTTTCTAGGCACCTACCTCTACTGGTGAGCAGTCCTTGTCCCAGCCATACGTAAAGGAAGCGGTAAAATTCATTTTTGATTTCGGTACATTTTGATGTGAATAATACCTGGAAAACAAACAAGAATTTAATGGAGTAAGTAAGAAACTACTTTAAACGTAAATTAAATTAGTTTGATGAGATTAAAACTTATTATTAGTGCTATTTATTAGAATATTTTTCAGTTACTTTGAAGAGAACTCTACGGAGTCTCCGTTAGACTTCCTAGAGAAGAAGCTTAAAAAAACTATTCTGCGATTTTTGAGACATAAATTGCGTAACTTCTCATCTAGAACATCTAAGGGGATGAATACTGTCTTTCGTTTTTAATGTTTTCAATTGTAAATGCTCACCTCAGCATATTTTCCCTCTGCAACCAAAACTAGGGGAAGGCCGCCTATCCAAAGGCGAAATATGCTACCATACTCCTTATACCTTGCGTAAGCCATTGTTGGCATATCTGAAATAAGAATAACACATTTAATCGATGGAGTATATAAGCATTATCCACATAAATCAAACTGTAAGGGTCGAAACTATTGTTATCCTTACAACTCTAAGTAACCGCCGAGCCGATTTCCGTGATTTTTGTTGCAAACGAAAGCTATTGATCTCCAGATGATACCAAAAATCTGGAACTTTCAATATCCGCCCTTGAAAGTTGTCCTGGAGCTCGCGAAGCGAGTGATCAGGGATTCAGGGGGTGGAAACCCTGGCTAGGCGTGTGCAGGCGAGCGAAACGAGCTAAAGCAGCTTGTCACTTGAATAAAGCTCTTCTGACATTTCAGTGCAATTTACTTATTTAAAGAAACTGTAGCAATCTCTATACTGCTAGTATGCTTGCAGTGCTCACGCCTCTTTTGGTTTTTATGGAGCTTTCGCGGCCATAAGTCCTAACAAAAATAATGTTGTAGGGCGAGTCCGATAGTAGAATACTTGTAAAATTGCCTAATACAATACGGTCAACGAGGTTGTCGTATGAACCTGGGATTTCCCTGAAAGTGGGTGAGTCTTACGTTTTAGAGAGAAACGTATCTCTAAGCGCTTCAAGGACTGTACGGATATGATAAGATGAAAACCAAAGCGGGAGCCTAGGAAACGCTCCATGCCAAATTAAACATAATTCAGTAACAGATGCAATCAAAATTGAAAGTCCTCTTAAACTAGTTATTTCGTGCGCCTTCAATCTTGTAGGAAACTGTGCAACGCCTCTGACGCGAAATAGTTGCTTAAAGAGATGCGGCACGGCAGGCAACCAGCGTGACACGCGCATAGGCGCCTACAAACCTAACGAGATACTTCACGCGTTGCGCAATGCGTGAAGTATCCCGTTAGGTTTGTAGGCGCCCAGTGCGCGCTCTGCGCTGCTAACACGCCGCTCCACTCTGTGTTAGGCTCTAATATTTAAACTCGCGGAGTCAGCGTTTTTCAACGCATAATTTTGAAATGTTTGAAAACTCTGCATGAATTATTCTCATTTAAATTGATGAAAAAGAAATATGTACTACTGAAAAATATAATGTATTTTTTTTTTTTTTTTTTTTTTTTTTTTTTTTTTTTTTTTTTTTTTTTTTTTTTTTNTTTTTTTTTTTTTTTTTTGTAAATATAATAGTGGTTACGTATCAAATTGAATGATTTCCAAAGCATTCAAATTTATTCTTTTATGTTTTGGGCTTTTACTGTGCTGCAGCTTGGTGTAAGCGCAACCAAACGCTCAAAATTGGACGTATTTGACCCAAAGAGGTTGATGTACAAATAAGTTAAAAACAAAAAGTTGCGTGCTTCTTAGTTTTTTTCCTCTTTTATTAATTTTTGTATAGTTTCTCTCATCACAACTACGGCCCATTGAGATTCATATCGATGCCATTGCTTGGAAAAGGTTTTACAAATATTTACCACGTTTTAAAAATGTAAATGTTTTTAAAATGAAGTAATCAATTTCATTTAAAAAAAGAATGTACATTTAAGGCAGATTTTATATCGGAAATTTCAAAGATAGAAATGAAAGCAAGTATTTACCAAAGACAATTTGAAAAGATGAATCAAAAGAAGAAATTAACATATCATTTAAAATATGAGTTACGATAACAACACCTTATTCTCTCTTAATTTCCTCATTTCGATATTGTCAATATAATTTTACACACGGCCTAAAATATGACGCTTGAATTTGATTTTAGTGGACTTTACATTTGTGGACTTAAGTTAGTGGACGTTTAAGTAATGGACTTAACAATAGTGTGGGTTTTAGAACTGTGGACGTAAAAATTGTGGACGAAAAGTCTGTGGACGTAAAAAAAGTGGACATAAAGTCCGTGTACCTCTCTAAGCTTAAAAAATCGTAAAGTATCTTTTTTTTCCTGAAAAATGACGGATGCGATTCAAAAATCCTTTGTGCTTCAGTTTTAGTATCACGATGTGCGGAGCGTGATTTGTAGAGCAAATGTTTTCGCCTTCTCGGTGGCTTTGAATTCATGTTCTCAACCAAATTTCAGTTTCATTCACGATTAAAAACTATTCAGTGACCCGAGATTGCAGATCTTCTTGAAATAATGAGATAATATTTTCGGTTCATCCATAGGAGTACCTACAAAGGTAGGGAAATAATTGCACGTAAGGTATTTTTGAGCCGGAAATAGTAGTTGCTCATTGTGAAATAATGTTTGAATCAGAGGGTGCAGAAGCGTATGAATCAAAAATCCCGAAGCCTGAACGTTTTGAGAGGTATATGTATAATGACGATAACGAGAACGATGCGTACGTCACATTTCCTCACTTCTTACTAAATTGTCAACCGTGACATTCAAATGAAATGAATAGGATTCACTCGCATCAAAGCTCATTAAAATATCCATACAGCAACCAGACCACTACCGTGCAAAGGAAAAATGCCGTATGAACCTTCAGACGTTGCCAATTTTCCTCTGATAAAATACGAATTTTCAGGCGAATATTTTTCGAATTACGAATATTTTACGAATATTTTTCCTTTAATTTTTCAGGGAATTTTATTTGCAATCGGATCTCAACTATCTGAAAATTTCAAAAGAAAATATTCCTAACTCTCCTATAAAAAGAGCATATTATTGAAGAAAATTTGATAACTCTCGAATTTTCATACGACGTTTTTCCGTAGCACAGCAGACTACCACGTAGTCTCTTCGTAGAATCGAAATATATTTAACTTTTCCTTC